GTCGGGAGGAGCGCGAGCGTCAGGTGTAGCGGATGGATTATCATTTGGGGTAGGTTGTTTGATAACAGACTGGTCTAGGATATCTTGTTGAATGTGCAAGCCCTAAGATACTTTAGTGAACGTGGGTAGGATAAAATTGCTGATACTCACATGTCTAGCATGTTCAATGCCAGAGTCTGCTGAAGCCATTTCCCATGCCATAACCTCGTACGCCTTTGCGCTCGGGTTCAGGCTCGGGTCAAAGCTCTGCACGGAGCTGATCAGCGGAACAGTTTTGTCTTCATCACCGAACTTGTTCCTCAGGTGCGGGGGGATGGATATCTTGTGGACACTCCCGGGACGGGACGTAGTAGTAGTGTCAACCGATACATCAAGCTTCCTTTCGTCTTCTGCTATCGCCTTCTCTATAGGGGCCTTCCAACCTGACGATAGGCTCTTTGTGGGGGACGCTGACTTTCCAGTGCTCGATACTAGGATCTCTGGTCGACGATAATTTGGTGCAGGCATTAACTCCATCGTACCTTTGGGGGGGCCTGCAACACGTGTGGTCGGCTCGGCACTAATCGGTGGATGCTTCCGTGAGGTTTCGAGCACTGTGATGGACTCCAGGGATGGCGAAGTGGGTTTGACGTCTTGCATAAAGTCTCTGGGATAACCCGTACTACGTGCAGCTGGTGTTGGCCACTGACCGAGTCCGCGACCGAGAGAGCTCCCCTTTGTAGATGGTGAGAGTGGAATTTCGCTCAGAGCTTGGCCGTACATCTTCGCTTCTTTCCTGTACGACTTGCTCCGGCGATCTTGTTCAGGATCACGATTGAACCGGGGGTCGGGAAGATTCCCTGCTTTCGGGATACTGTCCGGATCAGGCTGCCCTACAATCGTGCATGTCAGTGAGTGTCACGCAAGTTCCGCATTTCGTTTCTGTTCTAACTTACGGTCTCCAGCCTCTGGTGGCGGCGGAGGAAAGGCATCCCAAACCAAGGCTGCGGCCTTGGTGACTAAGAAGCGGTCAGTGTATTCATGTCTCCAATAGCAAAAAGGACTGCAGTGTTGTGGCTGAGACGTACCTGTCTCCTTTGGTTTCATGAAGGGCATTGTCACCGGCTCGACCAACTGGTAGGATATGCTGAGCTTGTGCGTTTCGAGATTTCTGATTACGCTATTGTTTTCATTTTTAGAGAAGAAAAGAGAGAAGACAATTTTGTGCGTGTGTAAGAGGGGAGAGGGGAGAGGGAGTCGAAGGTCAAGGCTGTTGATAAGGCAACTGGCTAGCTGTTGCTGCCGATTGGAGTCGAGGTGAGCGCGACTTCCTGAACGATAACGCAGGAGCGAAAGCTGGGTGACCATGCGGCGACATCAATACCGCTACCAGACAGTATCGAAGGACTTTTGAAAGCTCGGGCTAATGGTGTGATTCGTCGTAATGGAAACGCAGAGTATTGCGAAGGTCTTCGACGCTTTTGAAAGAAGAGAAGAGCAAGAAACTATGATCGAAGAGAGCGGGACGATAGTATAGATTAGAGCTTGTAAGAAGAGAAGTGAAGAATCTGGCCTGGAAGAGATAGGGTCACGCCATAGAGGCTAAAGTCATCTCTCTCACCTTGAGCTCTATGAAATCCTCGCGCTACCTCTCTCCACAAGGATGAGGAAAGGGGTTGTAAGCCTCAAGAAAAATGGAATAAAAAAGGTGCACCTGCGAATCTGAGGGATGGCTACAGTATTTGTGGGAGAACAGAAGCAAGCAAGAGTTTATAATTAAGAATATCATAGTTGCGGTAGTGAACTACTGAATGTTTTTCTGCAGACTACATATTGTTTTATAGTAGAGTAGAATGCAGCAAATACCTTTACACAAGCTGAGCCATTGGGTTGCCTCTTGGAGACGAGTGATCTGATCGGTACATGGACTATACCTAGCCGATGGACACACTCAGTAGCCAAGGAAAGACGGCCATGTCAGTCGTTACTAGGTCATTATGCAATGCTGTACCCAGGGTCTTAGTATATACAAATTCAAAGGCTTCGAAGTTGGTGTTCTCTGACCATGACAACTCGCCGCTGCTGCCTTCGGGGATCGTGCCACAAAAGCCGACCGCTAACCAGATCCGCTCATGATGACTGCTACCCTCACACGTGAGACCGCGACAACTGCGGAGATCTATTTCTGCATCCGAACACTGCGCACACGACTTCATTGAACTTCCGATTTTGCGTAGGTATTGTGAGGAACTCGGGAATGCAATCGTTACTACGCATCGTATTGATTTTCTGACCCTGCTTGCTCGACTACCTGCGGCGCTGTCGGGTGTGCTCGGCAAGGTGAACAGAAACCTAGGTCTTCACGATCATCCTGATTTTACTTGTGCGTTCTATCGTCCATTAACTCTACCAATCCTTGTTCTTGATTGGTGGTCACCTTCACTCGCTCCTTCCACAACATCGCAGCTCCGCAACTTCGATTGTTATGAGCGAATCTCGCTCTCTCAATCTCTACACTCGCCATTCCCTCACTCATCTCAAGAGTTATCAACTTTTTCCGCAGGATGGCGGGAAAAATTACCTATTCGAAACGGCCGAACAAGCGTCGGGTACCTCATGATCAAGACGCAGCGCGCGAGGAAGACGACAGTCGTAAGCGGAGTAAGGCAGATGCCGAGTCAAATGAATCGCGACTGCCAACACCACCCCCGAGCCGAAAAGAAAGAAAGTCATTTTCCAAAGGTCCAGTGTCCATTCCAGATGACGACATGTATCCCCCGCGCTCTGTGTTCGACAAAGTGCTTGGGAACAAACAACACCGAGCCCCCAAACCAGATGAGAGTAGTATTCGGGACAACCGGGAGAACTATGTAGAGACCATGAAGAACGGGAAAACATCACAACAGCAGAATGGCTGGGCAAGGAATGGCTCTCTGCCAACACCACCAGCGGAGGCGCAGAGGAAAGCTCATCAACAAGCGCGAAGAGACGAGAATCTTGCGCGATACAAGAGAGTTGCGAACGAGGGCGAATCGAGGGTGTTTGAAGCATCATTGTCTAAACCTCCGACCCAGACATCGCAGCTCTTTGAGCGGATCATCAAGAATGAGCAACCAAAAGAGCCATATCAGCCGAAGGCCTATAAGGCTGAGTGTATCGCAGCGCCACGGCGGACCATAGCTGGAGAGCGACTATCAAGAAGATCGGAGCAAGCCCAGATGTGAGCCATCCAAGGATACGCGCTTTATGAGCACAGACTGACCAAATTAGATTCATGGCGAACCAGGCCAACTCACCTCTTCTGCAACTCCCTGAGGCCGCCAGGAATCTTATTTACAAGCATGTGCTTGGTGGCAGGACCATCAATATCAGCTACGAGAATTACCGCACTACTTATGACCCTACAAAACCCAAGAGGGCTCAGGATGTCGTACCTGTCTTCAAGTACCGATGCACAGTATTCGACGGTAAACGTAATCCATATACAGCGGTAGCAGCACAGCCCTGGCTCAAACCTCCCACAACATTCACTTTACTCAATGGCGTCTGTCGCCAGATGTACGAGGAGACGGCGACTCTGCCATATCAGCTCAACCTGATCGCTTTCGACTCACATAATACCATGTTCAACTTCTTGCTGTTGGAGAAACGCCTACGTCTTGAGCAGCTTGATGCATTGACGGAGTTTATGTTACCGGAGACGTTGCCAGGGTCGAATACACTAGCCTGCCTAAGGAACGTCGAGAGGGTGTTTCTCGGGGTCACACAGGAGGGGAGGGTCAGAGGCGCGTATCGCGTCATCCGGACCGAGGGCGAGGAACCACGGCTAACAAAAATCACCAAGTAGTATGGGGGATTTTATGGATTCGTGAATGTGTAAAGTATGGCGTTAAAGGAGTCTCGGTACGGTTGCATAATACCCGGTATAGTAACGATGTTACGACCCAACTACATGCACACGACTTCGCGGCCGAAGCCGGAATTCATCCTGTAGCTTACACAAAGTGTTGGTGATGATTTGCATGAACAGTCGCGGTGCTTCCTTCCTTTTTTGTCCCAACCGTCGAGTCAGTTGGCTCAGCAAGACTGACATGTGAAAGAGGCGCCACGTCTCAGCCCACCCGCTGCGCGAATGACTGCGACTGACTGTGTTGTCACACCCATATTCTTTTTGAGTGTGCACTGCTGGCTTATGCATGTGTATCTCGTGGACAGAAGAGGATCGGAGATGGCGGTCAAAAGAGGTTGGGATAGCTGCCCCACGTCTGCATGTTTCTCCAGATCTACTCTGCCTGCAGCGTAGGATCGCGATGTCGGACAGAGCAACTATTGCGGGCGCTATACGGCCTTTCCGGACCAATATTGCTTATATGCCATACTTCATAGGCCGGGGCCGTCGGGAGTTGAACACAACGACAGGCGGGTGTGAGGCACTCGCCCACGCAAGCTCACATAACCAGCAGCATTAAACACATGATCCATGGGTGCATTGCAGTAGCCTGCCAACTCTGCAGGTACAGGTGCGAGTTGCGTGTCAGGGTCGGTGGGCAATTTAGCACTGCCGACGCGGAGCCATGCCAGCCATGTCTCTTTAGGTGCATCCTTGCCGATGACGATGTACCACGCTCATGTCCCCACGCTCCCTAGTATGCGCTGCACGTATCGAGACTTGAAAAGCATCCATGCCTTCCATTCCCGCGCACATCTCGTCACCCGGCGACTACATATTTGAATTGTTGAGGCAGCAAACCTGTGGCGTACCTTCCGCGACTTGCGCGACCAAGTGCGCATGACCACCCGCAGTTGACCCAATTCCGGCCACCCTACACCGCGTCTTCGACAAAGGCACTATTACTAGGCTTCATACTCCCTCGAGTGCGAGACCGCCGTAGTAACCGACTGCACCTCTTCATCTCCATCACCACAACCTGCGTTGACGTTCCGCACTCGATCTTCCGATCCACCTTCCACCGGCTAAGCCAGGCTTCGTCACATCCGCGCATGGCGTGCACCGGCGCTCGATGTCATTGCTGTCTGACACGATATTCACAGGCGGCAGTACAAGACTGCACGTAAGAGGAGGACAAAATGGGCACAAGGCGATAAGGAAAAGTAAGAGTCATGGCGGCTTCCTCGGTCCCCTTGTGCAGTTGGCCAGGAATCCGTTGAAGACTCTGGGCGAGCCAGCAGACAACGACCATGTTCCTGAGACGGCCGCGGGTGCTGCGGAAGCAAACCGTAGGCAGGTCCTGTACCTGCACATGAAAGACGTGGGTCATCCAGATTGGTCGTGACCCTTTCACATGCTGACGAGATCGCCATGCAGGCCGAGACATACGACCAATGGAAAGCCGCCGCGACCGAACTCGATATCTTAGAAGGAAACGAGGCCTGGAAAGAAGAGGATGACACAACAGAGTACAACGTAGATCTGGTTGCCGCCCGGCTGAAAGAGCTGGACGACGCTCGTTTAAGTTGTGATGTCAAAAGGATGCTTTTCCTGGTTAGGACCACCCTCACACGCGGATTGGGCGACATGGGCGATCTGCGCTTGTACAAACATTCGCACATTGGAACCAAGCGCCTGATCGAGAGGTATATTGAATCCGCGCAGCAGACCATGGCGGCTCTGCTGGACGTCTCAGAGAAGCAGGGAGATCAGTGTCCTATCGAACCGCGACGTTTGGTCGATCAGCTCCTTCAAACGCGACAGTCTTTCGGGCGAAGTGCGCTGTTGCTCTCAGGTGGCGGTACCTTTGGCATGAACCACATCGGCGTTGTCAAAGGTCTCTGGGATGCTCGTCTTCTCCCACGCATTATATCGGGAGCCTCTGCTGGAAGCATCGTCAGTGCCGTCCTATGCACAAAGACAGATGCAGAGGTTCCAGAGGTTATGCACCAATTCTGCTACGGAGATTTGAACGTATTCGAAAGCCCTGATCACCCGGAAGGCGTGGTCGGCAAAGCGATGCGCTTGATGAAGTCAGGCGCTCTCTTTGACATTTCACATCTCATGAGGGTGATGCGCGATCTGCTCGGCGACATGACCTTCCAAGAAGCATACAATCGAACTCGTCGTATCTTGAACATACCTGTCTCGACTTCTTCGCTTTACGAATTGCCCAGACTCTTGAACTACATCACAGCGCCGAATGTCATGATTTGGTCAGCAGTGTAAGTGGCAACTAAAGAAGGTTTTGTTCTTGTGCTAATCCCGCTTAGATGTACGTCTTGCTCAGTGCCACTAGTATACAAGAAGGCTTCACTTTTAGCCAAAGATCCGAAGACCGGCCAGGAAGTGCCTTGGGATCCAAACCCTGACGCGACCTGGATCGACGGTTCCGTTGACAATGACCTACCGATGACCCGGCTAGCCGAGATGTTCAACGTAAATCACTTTATCGTCTCGCAAGTGAACCCACATGTCGTTCCCTTCCTAGCAAAGGAAGAGGAAATGGTCGCTGCAGAAGCCCAACAGGATGCTGCCACCGGTCCCGGCTGGATGAGCCTTTCAGCTAGCCTTTGCAAGGGAGAAGTCATGCACCGCCTTCAACAGCTAGCGGACACTGGGATCCTCCCAAATCTGGTAACAAAAGGAAGGTCGGTACTCAGCCAGCGTTACTCAGGTGACATTAATATCTTTCCAAAGATCAACTATGCCGACTTTCCCAGAGTCTTGAGTAACCCCACACCGGAGTACATGATTGGGTGCATGCTCACTGGACAGCGAGCTACATGGCCAAAATTATCGCGTATACAGAACCATGTAGCCATTGAGCTCGCGTTGGATGATACGATCCAGAAACTCAAAGGACGACTTGTGTTTACACCAGAGCCAGACCTCAAACTCACACGGACAAGCTCTCAAGACAACGACCTTGCTCATAGAAAGCGAGCAAAGTCGACACATAAGATGACGCGCTTCGAACTCAGAACGGAACCTCCTAGCCCTGTTCTACGAAAATCTGCACCTACCAGTCCTCTGCTGTCGCGCACAGCCTTAAAAGCAGCCCCCCAACCGCTTTCCGTTCCAAAGCAAGCCAATGGCACAAACAAGTTCAGGCGACAATGGACCGAGACGATCCAACTCGACCCCATGTCCTCCACCAACGACACCTCGGACCATGACTACTTTGCCGATCCCGAGTCAGACACCACATCTCGACTCTCCTCGCCTTCACCCGCCACATCACCCACAATCAACACTCCCACCCTCTGGCCTTCAACCCCCCAAGCTATCATGCAAGCGCAGCCGCAACCCATCACCTCACATCCCACGCCACTACCGCCTACTCAAAATCCCTTGAGCCGTCGCACGGGTACAATTCTCAACCTCACCATGACGTCTACCGCAAGACATTCGTCTAATCCAAACGTACCTAGTAGCCCTGAGTTGCGGTATAAACGCCTCTTCCATCCTCCTGGACCAGCAACACCAGATGTTAGTGTTGGCCCTCCTGTGTTGGACAACGAACCCGTGGCTACGAATATGACACGGTCTCCAGCGACTAGTAGACCGGGTAGTCGACGGAGTAGTGGAGCGGGCCTGGGGTTGGGTTTGCCGGTTGACGCATCGGGGACCAGGGGGATGCTTCTGAGAAAGAAGAGCTATGTGTAGGCTCTCCTTGCCTCTGCTAGACGTCTCCACGGGCTCATACATATTTGTGTCTCGTATGGCACCTTTCTCGTATATTTTTTATGCGCCTTCTCCGCGCTTCAGCAATCTTTACATAGGTTCTCTTTTGTTTTTGTTAAGATAGTGTGGATGAAGGGGATGTACAGTGGATAGTCACAGGCTTTGAGCACACCACAGGACAGCAGATTGAGAAGAGAGATGGAAAAGAATGAGGGAATATGGAGAAGAGCGACGATACCCCAGGACTCGATACACGTATACTCTTTCTTTTTCCCTATACAAACAAGACAAGACGAAGAGTTGATATAGATTGTTAAAAGTACAAATTACCACATTAAGCTCGTTCCATCATTGATTAATATGCCCTTACTTGCTACCTTCTTGCCTCTCCCTCTCCCTGTCTATTTGTTTCAAAACCTCCCTGTCCTCGACAAACTTCTTCCTAACGTCTTTTCCCCTCCACCGCTCGAACAACTCATACCCCACTACAAAAATAATGGGCAAACCCACTATTATCGCCGTCACTCTACGCGCCGCAGGTTTGTACTTGGGCGGGAGGCGGATATCGGGCGTGGGTTCTATTATGCGCGTAGGGTGTTGCTTCTGGTATGGAGAGGGCGGTGGACGAGGTTGTGGCTGTGATGGCGAGGGTCGAATGGAAGGGTAGGGGTTGTGTGGACGAGAGGTTGTAGGTTTTGGAGTCGCTGGGTAGACGGGTGAGGGGGCGATTTTGGGGGCCGAAGGGAGTGGAATGGTCGTTGTCCTTGAAGTCGTGTTTGAGGTTGTTTTGCTATTCGACAAGGAGGCAGTTGTGGGTGGAGTTGGTTTCGATTGTAAGGATTGAGTCTTTGGTGGTGATGTTTCTGGGGTTTGCGGCGATGACGGCGCGGTTTTCCTCGTGTCTTGTACACTTGCTTCGGCTTCTTTCGCTACGACCTTTTCTGGCTGTTTTGCCTTCTTCAGCGTCCCTTTAGCTTCCACTTCCTCTAATATCTTGCTTGTGGACGGTGTGACGGGCGTAGCTTGTGCTGGCGCAATTGCTGACTTGGGCGCAATCTTCTTCCCCGCAGCAACAGTCGCAGTAGTAGTAGTAGTAGGAGCAGTCTTCCCGCTTTTCGTAGCCACCTTCTTCTCTTTCTTGACTTCCACAACTTTCTCCTTTGTGCTTGGTTTCGCGGCCGCCTTCTTCACAGCCGCCTTGCTCGCTGCGACTTCTGGTGTTGTCCCCGCATCCTCGGCTACGACTTTCTTCGGGCGACCGCGTTTTTTGATAGCTGGGGGTTCGATTGTTGGTTTTGAAGACATTGCTGCTGTCCAATTGGTGTACAGACTGCAAAAATGGGCGATCGAGGGTGTGGGGAGAGCGAGACGGGCGTTGCGACACAATGACTAGTCTGGGCGCATCCGAGGGGTCGCGGCGGGAAATTTTGGGCGAGTATGTCTTTAGGCGGAGATTAAGATGTGATGCAGGGATGCGCGTGCGTACAACGGTTCGTAGCGTGTCTGGTATTATCGATAGCTGTAAACATCACTTTACTGCATGGCGACTAGTCTGTTGATGGAGACCATGTGTGTACATTTCATTCAATCAGATGTCTACGTTACAGCATATACAAACAGCATATCAAAACTCCATGAACAAACTATACCCGTGGTTCGATCCAACAGTGTCATGTTCGCGATTACTTCTGTGCTTCCTCCCTCTTTACTCTAAAGAAGGCCAATTTAGCGAAGCGCCCTAGTTGACCCCAGTAGTGTCGGCCAGCAGAGTGATCCATAATCCTCTCTAGTAACCTAACAACGGCCATTCTGACATCCTGTCTAGGGTGAAACAGGCCCAAGCTAAGGTAGAAGAGACCAGCATCTGGGATGACACAAAGCAGCTGCAGAATAGTCTCATACTGAAGCTGGGAACTCATTTTACGCTCATGGTCATTTGCGATCGTGAGTGACTGGGCCATGGAAGATAGGTCGCTCGAAGAGGCATTCTTACTCTCACTGTGCCCACCCGCTTCTTCAACACACCGCGCCAGTGCAAGGTAAATGGCCGCCGATTGATCATGTGAAAGTTTTAAGCAGCGCAACTTGTCGTGCTGATGGGCCATATCCAAACCGCGCACTGGTCTCTTATTCCAATGCCTCGCCAGATCCTGGACGCAACTGTAATAGCTTCTTGTGTTGCGCCAGCCCTCGATACGGTGCACGTTTGCAGCGAGTTCTCGAAGCTTGTGACCTTCGTCTGGCCATACGTAGCCATGTCCAGAGACACCATATCCGCCGACATCGGTCTCGTGAGAGCCAATATACAATGCAGAAGCGCCGTAGACAGTTTCTTCAAACGCCGCCGCAATGCGGGTGAACTTCAACACCCACGAGCGCCATTTGGCTCGAATAGCATTCTCGCCGTGGCGGTTGGCGATGCTCTCGAGAAGCTTTTCCATGAATTGGGTGTCACCGGTTGCGTCGATGCCGTTGGCCGGTGGCGCGCCTGGCCCATTCAGAGGAAGGCCCTGCTGCTGGAAGAACATGGAGCCTTCCGTTGGTGAAGCCGCCTCGATACGATTGCTGATCTTCATGCGACCGGTCGGTAGGTCACATATTAGGTCCCACCATTCGGGCTTATAAGAGAATGCAGGGTTGGTGACACCAGCGATGAAGCCAGGGACCTTGAGCAAGTCGTCCACTTTGGTGAGATCGGTGTATGGGAAGGCATGTCGAACGAAGCCGCGGAGGATGCCACCAGAGGCTAAAGCACATGCTGCCAATACGGCCTCTGCGACTTCTCCTGAAGGTTGGTTATGTCCGATAAAGATGATGCGCTTCTGGGTGAGGAGTGCATTGACGAGGACAATGATGGGATGAGTGTAGGCACCGCTCGTGGTCAGGTGCGGATGCAGAGCAAAGGGCTGTGGTTGTGTCGCATGAGGGGTGGAGAAAGTTTGGATAAGCTTGATCAGGGAAAAGTCGCCCACTGTCTCAGGACTCAAGGCGGTAGGTATCTTGACGGGGACGGGGATGCCGTTGTAATTGATCTTGGATTCAAACTCATGCGTGTCCCGTGGAACCGTGTATGTCTTCTTCCGCGACTGAGGATCGGACGAGGTTTCAACAGAGTCTCTTGCTGCGTCGAGCTTCTTCCGCTGCCGGACCATGAGCTCAAACTTCTCGACGAACATGTCTTTGGCGTCACTAGCGCCAAGCACAAAGTTCTCCAGAGGGGATAGTCGCGGCAGCAGCGACAGGTCCATGGCGTTGAGAGAGTTGTACAGGGATTCTAGAGTTTCGAGGACGGGTGCCCTGAAGTACTCTTCGAGGGCCAGCAGCAACAGGGGCTTGTATATGTGCAAGAAAGGGTGTCGCGTGCATATCGCCATGGCTTTTACGATGGCGCCTCTACGTGGTGTCAGTCATGTCAAGTAGACGGTGGTGCTCGTCCTACCTCTTCACCGTGTTATCTTGCTTGGTGTTGACCAAGTTCAAGACGTAGACCAGCGGTGGCCCATCAGGGTCCGGCTCTCCCTCGCTCTCGGTGTCGTCGTCCTCATCGTCGTAGTCATCGTCTTGCTCTTCGGTATCGGCAGTCGCGTCGTCTTCGTCGTCCAGGCCCTCTTTCCGCCGCCGCCTTCTCCTTCGGCGCTCTCTCCTGGCCTCGCGCTCCTCCTCTTCGGCGGTGGTATCCTTGTGTAGGAAGAAGATGGTCCAGTCTTGGCTTCGGACATGGGCCTGATCGGGCAACATGAGCTCAGCCAGCATAGTCTCGTCTCCACTGATTGCCGCCGGGTACTGGTGTTCCATGATGGAGCCGCGGTCGATGTCGAAGGCGGCGACGAGTATGTACTCGACATGGTTCTCAATTGCATCGGCGGGATATTGCGAGCGCAGCTTCATACCGCCTCTGGGTAGGGCCTGCATGGAGGACTGATGCGACGAGTCGTGCGAGGACTGTATCGAGTCTTCGTCGCCCTCGCGGACCATGGGGGGCTGCGGGGAGCGAGCTTTGTGGTTGTGGCCATTGCGGGTAGAGGGCGAGCGCGAGGGAGGGAACGAGGAGAAGGACGGCTGACGCTGCAGAGATACAGGCTGGGCGGCATTAGGACCGTTTGGCCGCTGTGCGATTACTTCAGCCATGAGTGTCTCCATCTTCAGTACGAGTACCTGGCGACTATGGATACTACATTATGGATCGACGGCGCTAGGGGAACCTAATGTAACCGTTCCGAAACAACATGGTGCCGTGTGGAGGAAGTGTGGTATAGGGATAGGCAACATGTGCAAAGAAGGCGTGAATGGCTACAGGACAATTTTCAAAGCGGTGACTATGCATGTGACTCGCATATGATGCTGCCCCAGGCGAGTGAAGGCGGACCCTGCATCTCCGTCCATGTCTTATCGATTAGCCCAATGGCAGGGGTCGTTGCTAGGCCATCTCCAGTATCAACACCAAACAACGCGACGAGCGGCCGACAGTGACATCGCGAACCCTGACTCTGGAAAAGAAATATACCACAATGGTACGTATGCCCTCATGCATCATCACTGGGACACAGCTAAGACATGCAGTCGGAAACACCAACGCCTTACAAGCCCTCCCCTCTCGCCTTCAACAGCACACGCCAGTCGCCTTTTAGAAGACCGGGCTCCATCAGGCAAAGCTCACCGGGTAACCTGCGACCATCGACGCCAAACAGCTCCCCTCTCAAGCCGAAAGAGACACCGACCTCTCCTGCACATACACCCAACCGCCTATCCATTGGAGGCATCCCATCACAAAACCCGCCGTCATGGCTGAACACAAGAAGGGAGTCCGGCACTCCAGAGCCCACCTCACCTGCCCGGAATCTTTCTCCTGCGCGCCAGGTCTCACCAACGCGGAACGTATCCTCGTCATCGCAAATGACTGTGCGCCCATTAAGCACAGCGTCCATTGCAGCCAAATTTGAGGGCGTCGCGAGGGACGACACGCCACCTCCTCTTTTCAGCAGGAGGAAGTCACCACCCGTAGAGAATACTGAGCCGCCGGTCGAGGATTTCAAACCTGTAGATGACTACACACCGGTTGAGGCACACAAGCCAGCCGAGACTTGGATTCCAGTGGAGAGTTACAAGGCAGTAGAGAGTCCCAAGCCCGTTGAGACCTACAAGCCCGTTGAGACCTATAAGCCAGTTGAAACATACAAACCAGTCGAAACATACAAACCAGTCGAAACCTTCAAACCGGTCGAGACCTTCAAACCGGTCGAGACCTACAAGCCAGCAGCTCGTCCTGCTCCCATGCAACGCATGGCCTCCAGCGACGCTCTCTCCAAGCTCCCTCCTCCCCTCCTCCACAGCATGCGCGAATCCTTCAGCGTAATGGACCGTGACGACGACGGTCACGTCAATGCCGCCGACGTCGCAGACATGCTCTCGCAGCTCGGTCTCTCCGCCACCCCCTCCCAGCTCTCTTCCTACTTCGGCGGCGCCCAATCTATCAACCTAGCCACTTATCTAACCACGCTCTCCGATCTCCTCGGCAACCTGTCTCATCAAAACGAGCTCACTGCTGCCTTCGAGGCGTTTGATGATAACGATGATGGCCAGATTGATCTGGCCGAGTTGAAGGATGCGTTACTGCATACCGCGCCTGAGCATGGCGAGAAGAAATTGACAGAGAGGGAGATCGACATGGTTATTGAGGGGTTCAGTGGGCGGAGGGCTTTTGCTAAGGGTGGGAAGAGTTTGGGGAATAGGACAGAGGTATTTAGGTATCAGGAGTTCATGTCGAATTTGACGGGTGGCAGTAAGAATGGGGGTGACAACGGGGAGGCAGCGCCGGCGTAGATATGTCTACTTGGATAGTGGGGCTGGGCGAGTTTCTTCATGCGCAATCGCATCCGATTTGATATATACCAATGACTATTCTATGTATTGTACAAGCAGCGCTTGCTATTCAATAATGGGCAATTCGAGTTGACATTGCAATTTGAGCTGAGGGTACTCTCTGAGTTGTGTATGGTCAACTATTCATGCAAATGTGTTGTATGTCTCCATAGTACAATTTCGTCACCTCGTTTCCATTTCAACTACCTCTACTTTCGTTGCCACGTTCGTCCTTGCTCTCATTTCTCTCCTCAATGTCTTCATCGTAGTTTCGAGACGCACCATCTTCAGCAAGGCCATTGATTTTCAGAATTTCAAGGAAGTCAATGCGATTCAGAATAGGATTCCCTTTTAAACCTGCTTCCAGTCAATCCTATGAAGTACGAGTAATAGGAATGCACTTTTGCCCAGCTTCTACAAAGCTGGAATACTTCTAAAAAGAATGCAAACCAAATGCCTCACTCCCAAAGGCCGACTTAATCTGCACTGCAAATACACGTAACCATTCGTGGACCTCGCAATCGTATTCGATGAACCAAACGCTTTTTTAGGTGGCCGGCGTCTTGCAGTAATCCACAGTAGACGACTAAATCTCATCTTCTCGGTCCACACGGTCGTCCTTGGACGCACCCGCTAGACAGATGCAATGCTTGACATTATGATCGGGCCTGTCTTCTCACTCCACTGTCCTAAACGTTCTCTTGAGAGCTTTTCTCTTCCCTGATTCCTCGGTCGTGAACCTCCACTTATCCATGTCGCTTGTAGTCAAACTCCCTGTTGCCTCAAGAGATGCACATTGATCCCACTGTTCCTCTAGCTCGTGGTCAACGTCTGGGTCATGAACAGCTTGACGTCGTGACGCTCGATCGACGCAGTGAACAAGCGCATCGACGACCTTCGAAGGTAAGATGTGCGTTGATGTCCACGTGGGACGGGCTCGGGGGATGTTGTTTATCATGCCGCCTTCCCTGACTTTGATCCACTCTTTGGCTGTGAGAGTAGGGTTAGGACCTGGACTGGTGTCTGTATCTGAACCCCATGTCTGCCATCCGGGGGCAGAACAGTCCGCTGTGAACACAGAGGTCCATTCATTCTTCGTATTGAGTCTAACGATTTTGAGATAATGGGTCGATTTGTCTGTCCGTAGGTTGAGGTTGTGAGAACAGTAATGGACGCTTGCTAATCTTATGTGTTAGTTTCCATTATATCTATGCTTGTATAGCACGAAGAACGCGGTGCTTGTTCATGAATATGAGAGCCTCCAGAGTCTCACATGGCAAGACTTACTTGAATGACATCGAATATTGATCTGCTTCCTCTCAAATACTCGGGTGTCCTCCTTTCCATGCCAGCCCTCGAACCATGCCGTGCCTTCTACAAGGTCAATATGCAACGTTCCAATGTCGCTCTTGGAAATAGGTTGGGTACGGAAGCACGTCATATATAAGTGGTTGGGCCATGGCGGAGAGTCGTGTGAGCTTTTTGCGCGTTTGTGTGGAAAAGCTCGCTCCATATCTTGGCTCGCTTTGCGCTTGAGTTCGTTTTTTCCTGCCCCAGCTGCTGCGCGTGCTGGAACTTCCTCTTCATCCTTGATAGGAGTCTCGATAGGTCGAGTTTCGATGGTTGATATGCCGCTGAGTTCTGATTGGGAAGGCCAGATCATGCGTTGCGGAGTGGGATCGGTAGTCACAGCATGAATCGTACTGGTGAATGGCTTCGATTGGGCCTCAGATACTGTCTGTGTAGACGCAGACGCCATCATACTTGTCAAGCCTTGGAATTTCCATTCCACGATCTCACCATCCTTACCTTCGTAAGTAATATTGAGCACTCCATCGTTCTTGATCAAGCGCAGGCTTAGACCTTCGACACTTGCTTCGATACCGGGCTCCAATTTTCCAAGAGCTTCGGCTCCCAGTTCGTCTGCGGCATCCTCGAAATCTTCTCCATATACTTTATGTACCCTTGGGTCTTTGTTGGGACGCGCGTGGGTCAGTACAAGTGTGCTTGACTGTAGTTCGTGAATATAGAGCACGAGGCCTGCGAACTTGACCAGTAGGGTTCGCATCTCTAAATTTCTTCTCTGTTGGTTCGAAGACGACTGAAGCGCTTGGGACCTTTTCCAGATAAAGAGGTAGATCAAGACGACCGACTCAACGAGAGTGTACGGAGAGTCGTGTGAGAGGGGACGAGAAGAGAAATAGCAGACTTATATACAATCAGAAGGAAAGAATGAGGCAACACTATCATCTCCATGTCTCTCACCAACGCATATCGACAGACGACGTGATAATAGTGCCTTACTGTCTTTCAGAGGTGATAGTCGTCCCTTATGATAACAACCATGCGTAAATGATTCTCGGTGAGATTATACGTTGCAATGATATTGTAGCATCTTATGGACGACTGCCAGGTCAATAGATGTTTCTCAAGGCCCTCTTGGGGTTTGGTGTATGAAGTGTATCAAATCTCTTGCTTGTCAGTGCCGACGTGAACTTGTTCGCCACGGCCGTGTCAAATGAAAGCGTTCGTCTCTTTGTCCTGCATTGAGGCTCCGGAACGATGCCTCGGGCAACAATCTCGGCGACTGTGGTCGGGATGATGACACAATCTCCCAACCTCTTCCCTTGTCAAGCCGCCCGACTCGATCCCAGGCGGGTCGCGAAGAATGACGGTGAGAAAAGAATAAAGTCAAAGAACATGTTGGTCCATTAGGAGCCGTTACCGTGGAGTTGTCCAAGGATGGTGGTGTTGAGAACCCTGCTGCTAGCGTAGGCTCAAGATATCCGGTCACAGATTCGATTGGCGGAAGGCACACGTGATGTACAACACATCGGCACGGATTAGACGGGCCCAAAAATCCCCATCCAGTCGTTGGATAATGGCTGTGAATAGTGTTGAAATAGAACTGAAAGCGGCTAGCACTGGTGAGTTGGCCGAAAGAAGGTCACAGCTATAATATGACATAGGAGGCCCCATTGGTTTAGGTGTTGCAGCACAGACACAGTTCGCGCGCTGCAAGAGCGATTGGAGAGCTTCCACCATTTTATATCTTCTCGACTCGACCCCTCCTCGCCTCCCACCGTTGCTTCGTACCCAAAATGAGTGGCCCGGGTGAAAATCGGTACGTCAGAGACTAGGCGCACGCGAAGTTTGGGGAGCTTACGCATACTGACGATTGACACAGCTGGCGGCGGCAGGGTCAAGCCAACCGCAACTCCAACTCGGGCGCAAACACCCCCACCAAGGACAACGCCGGACGGCAGCAGGCTATGCCAGCGCCCACAGCGAACGTATGGGGGGCCAAGCAGGGGAAGGGAACAGGCCCCGCAGCTGCACCAGTTCAGGCCCAGCCAGAGCAACATGTACCCGTGAGAGAGTTCAACGCAGATGAGGTCAAGCAATTCCTCAAGAAGAGTAAGTCTGCTAAGCCGCTGAAGTATAGCACATGACAGGGCTAACCGACTGTAGAGTACATTGAGAGCACAGCCAGTACGAGCATCCAAGAACCGCGCACATGTTCAGAAGGCTGACTTGCTTCCAGATCAACCCTCGGTGTACCACAAGGTCCCTGGCGACTCCGTCTCGAACCGTAGCAGCGGCGCGTGGGGCAAAGGAGGTGAGGCGTCAAGGAAACACCACACTGAAAGACTACAATGCTGACATGGACAGGCACCATGTCACACCTCATGCCCACCGGCCAAGACTTCTTCACGCAGCTCAAGAAGCAGATAGCGACTCTCGAGCAGTCCAAACCCGCGCAATGATTGCATACACACCCGTTATCTGTTTCAGCGGCATTTTGAGGGCATTACAGGAGTTCTGTGGGCTTTGAATCGCATGGGTGGGCATATGTCAGTACTTTGCAGCAGCATGGGCAAAGTCATATTTTGGCGTCTTGGGAGTTTGTGAGCATGTGTGTGTCCGCCTCGGTTTAGGATGATCGTACGCGATACCCATCTTACGACAGTGTTTGGGGTTTGACGTTATACATGGCATTGGGGAGCGTTGTGGTGGAAAAGGTCAGGTTAGATCTGCACCTGGAATCAAAATGTCCATTTAAATGCTCAATCCATGTCTATGGATGTATAGTGCTCCTTCGTTATGTCGGGATACTAACGACATACGAGCGTCATCGTATCGACTTGTGGTACAAGGATACCCATACCCCTTTCACCTACTTGCCAAAGAAGGGTCCACAGGTCATTCGCGCAAGCCACTAATTACAGAGGCCAAACACACCACGGCAAGCGTCAACAAACACCAAGCTTTCCGGCTGGACAAGCAACCGAGGCTCCGTGATCGTTTTTTCCATGCAGCCTTCGTCGCTCGCTCCATCTGCATCACTACGCGCCACAAGCGACTAATTAGCATCATCACGCATTGCAGCCAGCCCTACACCACTGAGGCGTCTCCGCAGCCAAGACCGCACCCTCGCTGGTACCTCGCAGGCCGCCAACACGCCGCTACCCCACCACAGAGACCTCCTTTTCCCGTGTAAATAGACTTTCTGTGGCTTGTCAGGGCAGAGCCGCGTCTTTGGGATTGCTGAGAAGCAGAAGCGCATTGCGCTCCCTGGTTCACTCCCGTGTAGATCCCCGACTGGGGCCCTCCCAATGCGGTCCGCCTTTGTTCATTTCCGCGACTTGACGAGCCTTTGACGTGTTCTGAACCACCGCGACACTTCCAATACACCCGCACCACCATGTCGTCTCCTCCCAGCACCCCCACGCACCGCCCGACGTCGTCGCACCGTCGACACCCCTCCAGTCTGGACATGTCCCTCAACACACAGTCGAGACGGCAGTCCTTCAACCGCCGCTCCTCGGGCTACTCGCCCATAACGCCGCGCTCATCGCATGAATTCGAACACAGCCCCGCACACCAATTCGACGGCGGAGGAGACGGCAATGGCCTGGGCAACTTGGCCGACGAACTCGGCGAGGTGTGGGACGACGACGAAGAAGAGGGCATGGACGGCGAATATGGCGAGGAACTCGACGAAGCACACGATCAAAACATCGGCACTGCTGTAGAACACGACGGCTCGTACGGCGTAGACAGCACAGTTAGCCTCAACGGCGTACGGGATAGTGGGGTTGCCATGCAGGACTCATCGCCCGCGCGCCTGAGTCCAGGGTCGGCCGTTAAGACGAAAAAGCACGCAAGGCAACGGTCGCTGTACGACGGCTCCGACTATGGCGACGACTCGGACCTGGAAAACGAGGGCATCTCGCCCGCGCTCGACGCGCGCATGGCTGCGATTGAGAGTCTGGCACGGAGAGGCATCGAAGAGAACGGAAGCGCATCAGACGAGGTAGTCAAGAGGGTCACGCAACAACTTCGCGATCTCGGCAGCCAGATCGCCATGGAGAACGGTGCGACGAGGTAGGTTCAGATATGTAGGCAATTCCCTCCATGTCACTAACAACCCACAGGTTGAAGACTGCCCACGAAGCCCTGACAACGCACCTGACACACCAGTCGCGTACTCTTACCTCCATTGCCGTATCCTTCTCAGGCCCATTTGCAATCCTTCCGGACCCAGATGATATCGAAGAACTTCTCCCTATCATACAATCTACACTGGAGCTGCTGCCCCACCCTTCCGCCGATCCGCTCGTCGCGCTCTCCCATCTCACCCACTCCAGCCGTGAGCTCATCCAACACCTCTCAAACGTCAGCGATACTCTTCACATGTCTCGCCAAACGACAGCGAATGCTGCTAGGCGGCTCAAGGTCAGCAAAGAACAGCTACAGGACTGGAAACGTGACAACGAGAAGACACAGGAAGGACAGGAATATATCGAGCGCGGGGACTGGGACCGACGACTCAAGGAAAGGGAGGCAAAACGGGCTTGCGCAAACGTGCTAGATGGTTTCGAGGATGTCTGTGGACAATGGAGGAAGAGGCTCTGCGAAGGTTTAGGCGTTGCGAGTGCGTAGACTCTTCCTACGTACCTCACAGGCCTGTGTCTACATCGATGACCTTCATGCAAGGTCTGCGACTGACTCGGGCCTTAGGCGAGTATATTCCGGATGACGAGGCATACGCTCGCCCTTCTTGGCTAAATTTCAGTAAATCGCCGGGACCGCCGGCGGGGTTAGAAGGCATCTTAGCGAAGGTGTTCAAGAAGGCGGTCAACAAGTCCAGTACAGATTCCATGTTTCCAGATTCCGGCGACGACATGCTGATAGATGGCCACTAGGGCCATTCATGCTCACTTCACATTGAGCATTATTTCCTATGTATTTGCATTGATATGGTAGTATGGTGTTTTGGCGGCATTGATAGATGGACTTGGTAATACCCCATTTATACATAGCTTCAGGACAAAGCGTGTCTCATTTGTAGGAGTTGGGGGGGCCTTTGATAGATGAGAATGAAAGGCATTACAATATTGCAGGTGGGGATCCTCTGGATGTTATCGTCGACATTATGATAACGGTGAAATATGCTGACAGCTATGTACAGTAACCCCTGCAACCTGCCCTGGATGTACGAATGGCGTGCTACCAGTCGTACATAGTGGAGCCGCTCATGCTAACTTACATACCGAGCTCACGTCGCTCACTCCAGTACCTTCAACTACCTTGGCTTCGACAACTTCATACACTGGCACTTCCTGCAGTCTCTCGACGATGTGATGCAGTGTTGGCAAGGCCTTCCAGTCAAGGGCATCGAAAGCGATTTCGGCTGAACTTGCCTTCAACGTACGCTCAACCTTCTTCTCCACGGTCCTCGCGTCCTCCTCACCTGGCAGGAACGCTGTGTACTCCACGTCTGCCTGCCCACGCTCCTTGCTTCCTGTACTACCAGTAGCGGGAACATACTTATGGAACAACAAGCCCTCATCTTTTGGAAGAGGAGGAAATGGTGCCGGCGCTGCATCGTCTGTCGCCGAAACCTCTTGTAGACCCGAGAGCGACATGCTGCAGAACTTCGATGACATCCAGCCCGCGTCAAGCGCCCAGTTGCTGTGGTCCTTCTTCAGGTTGAGCTCGGCGAAGAGCTTGGGGAAACCTAGCTCTTCTCTGCCACTCAGTATGGGGTCAGCCAGGTTCTCGAATAGGACGGGCAGATAGGTGCCTGTCACTGTCTCTCCACTGGCGTTTGTGTGCTGAATGCCGTGGATGTACAATCCGAAATGACTGTACCCCCTGCCACCAAGCCAGTCCAGATTGTCCAGCTGCGTCACAGCAAACGTCGCATATGCAGTAGTATTCGGGGCAGCAAATCTCAACTTCTCCGTAGGCAAGAGGTTCTCCAGCACTGTCCTGCTCGTCTTGAACTTGATACTAGCAGTCTTGAACGTAGCTTTCGATCCGTCTCTCGGTCTACCAAGGAAATCCTGTCTTGGCCCTGGCATAGGACCAAAGGCCGTGGGCATCCGCCAAAACAGACCTTTCTTGTTCTCCCACTCCCATTTACGGAGCATCTGGCTGGAGTAGTCCCATTCGTCGTGGCCGAAGTTGTAGTTTGTGAACTTTTGCGGGTCGACGGGTGGACCGCTGCCCAGATCTTTTCCTGATAGGCGGGAGTATTCTTGGATAGCAGATGCGCGCTCGTACCTGCACTTCTCGTAGAGTTTCAGTCGCGCGGGAATGGAGTCTAGGGGTGTGCCTAGGGGAAGCATAACTGCGAGGGATGCAGCGTCTTCGATGGCTTGGCCTGCTCCTTGTCCTTGGTCTGCGGTTCTGTCAGCTGGATTCTCATCGGAGCCGAGAAAGAGAAGGAACATGACTTACGAGGGGTAAAAGGATGCGCAGCATCGCCAATCAAGACCAACTTCTGATCCGTCCAAGTTGGCAGCTGCTCCATATCCAACAGCTCCCATACCTTCAACGTCTCCTCATCCGCCATACTCAGCAGCTTGAGCACCGCCGGCTCAAAGTCCTTGTAAACCTCCAACATCTTGTTCAAATTACCCTGGTTCTGCCAATCGCTACTTCCAGGCTCTTGAGGGCCGATTTGGCTCTCGCTTGTCGGATGGATACAGACAAAATTCAACAACGTGTTATCGCTCGTCGGATACACAACAACCCTCCTATCCCTCGCAAAGATCATAATGAGATGGCCTTCGTTTTCCGCAAACTTACGCGTCATTTCTTCATCCAGCGCCCTCTGTCTCGGAATCAGAAACCTGAATGCTGACTTGCCACTTCCAAACGTCTTGATATTCTCCGCGCCTGGAATCCGTGGTCGTGTTTTCGAATGTACGCCATCTGCTCCAACAACGACATCACTCTCGATCGTACTTCCATCTTCTAGCGTAACAACACCGGCTTTGGCATCGACATCCACAACCTTACTCCTCAGTCTTAAATCCGCTGGCGTACCCTTCCCTTCCTCACACGTAGCCAGCCTCTTCAATTCACTGTGCAGACTCACGCGATGCGCAAGTTGCCACGGGTGCTGCCACCGACCCGCATCCTTCTCTAGGGGAACAGTAAACATCTCTTTTCCGTTCGGAAAGAGCTGTGTCAGGAGCTTGCATGTTATCGCGCCATGGGCTTCGGGGATGAGACCCATACGCCTGAGAAGACCGTTGGCGTTGGGCGCAAGGTGCACGGCTGCGCCGAGTTCGTTGGAGAAGCGCGAGGCTTCGAGAAGAGTCACCTTGTGTCCGCGTTGGCGCAAGAATATTGCTGCGCTGAGGCCGCCGATGCCGGCACCGCATATCGTTATCTTGAGGGGCTCGGTGGCTTCGTGGTGGCCGTTGACACCATTTGTGTGGCCATTGGTGCCGTTTGTGAAGTCCATGATGGGTGTTGGCAACGAGGAGCGCTGAAGAAGGTTTGCGAATCCCAACTACAAAGCACAAGAAAGTGGAAGTGAGGAATGTGTTTCACAGTTCAGCAAGGGGTTTTGAGACAGCTCTTCTCAACTAGAGGTCATCTGCGTCTACCGCTTAGCAAGCCATTCCTGCACTGCCTTGAGCGCCAGCCGATTCCAGGTCATGGATGACCCTCCACTTCCCGGTCTATGGATATATGTGGGGTGGTGTAGGACATGTGTGGCAGCTGCAAAGCGTTCCTCGGGATCCGTAAATGCTACTGGATGTGGAATGCGCCGTCTTAGGCTGATTAGAATATGCGCGTTGTAGTGGTGGTAGTGGTAGATGCCGAGCGGAGAAGGCTTGCATGGGGCGGTGCTGGCACATCAGGGTCAGCAAATAGTGTGCATATATTGGCGGAAAAGGTCGAAGCGAGCTTTTCGTAGTCATGGGCACTTGCAGCATTGCAGAACTGCGCCTTGTGGTTAGATAAGAAATCATGGAAGAATAATGAATTGCAGTGTCTGAACGAAAAAAAGAATATGCATCAAATCTACATGTGCAAGCAGACTACCACTCTCCACCAAGCTTGTACCCAACATTCCATACTCTTCCCAGAGTATTACGCCATACTTTGGAGACTGTCTACACAAGGTCGTCAGCATAAATCCTTCCCCCAACCTCAATATAGTAAGAACTACTCACCGATTCCAAGAATACACCTGTAAACATCACACCAACAAATGCTTGTTCGATGCCATTGAGATAGACTCTTCGCTCGCTCTGGTCGAGCTCGGTATTGATTGGCCGGTATGCAGGCACACGGCGATGCTCTGTTGGCCAGTCGCTTGGGTTCTGCTGCGATTGTGATGTTGTGGATGAAGTTGGCGGGGCAGGATGTGCGTTGAGGCTTGTATCGAGTTCTTCGGTGTGGTGAAGGTCGTAGTCTGCAAGGACCGCCTCGAGATTGTAATGGATTGGGTTGGCAGTTGTTGTTACTGACATGGCGGCGATGGTAAGATCAGCAGGGCGACGACAGAAAGGCGAAAGTAGCAGTCGCGACGACGACTGTGGTATCAGCGAGTTTACTACGTCGAGAAATGTGGAAAGAAAGTACGCGTCCCTTGCGGCCCGTCGATTGGAAACGCGGAGAAGCTGGGGCAGGAAATGGCAATGGTCGGAATGTGGAGGGGAATATCACGTCCGCTCACACCCGTGTACATCGGACAACGTTACCGACGAGTTGGGCTTACTATCGTCTCAGAAACATCCGCTGACTTCCTAGAAATTACATATCGAACTGCAGACTCTGCATTTTCCACGTCTAGTCGTTATTGTTCAGTTTGTTCTTACAATACGTAATGTCGTCACCCATCACCCCAGAAGTCGCGCTTGCGGAACTCCAAGCAACCGCATTGTCGCAGCGGGCGCACAACGCTCTATTCCGTCTGAAGCAACTCAAATCTCTCCACGATGCGCTGCGTAACAACAGCAATGCGATCAGAGATGCGTTGAAGCAGGACACACATGTATCAGACGAAGAGGCAACTACCGAGGTTGCGCTTGCGCTGCATGTAGTCAAAGAACATTATGGTTCGATCGACGCAGCCAAAGAATTGGAAGCCGAGTATAGAATCACACACGGAAAAGACGCCAGTGATAAGAGAGAGCCTTGGGGTGTTGCGTATATTGAGCCACAAAGAGTTCATACGCCATTTTTCTCAGTCATCGCACCCTTGAGCGCGGCTCTTTCAGCGGGCAACTGTATCGCACTGAAGGTACGATCTATCATTCTCGATATACTTCTCTTTGTCTAACCTTGCTGTAGCTCGAAAACAACCTTCGCGCACTCCCCTCTTTACTTCGGAAGCTGCTCACCGAAGCCCTCGAATCAGATACCTTTGCTGTCATCTCTTCCGATCCCTCCTCGGACTCGCTATCATCCTGCGTACAAGTCTTCCAAGAGAAGCAAATTAGTCCACCAACATACTCGCAACTTGTCTCGCCCCGGAACAAGATCATCGCAATCGTAGACCGTACAGCAGATCTCGCATCAGCAGCCGAACAGCTAGTAACAGCACGCTTTGCATTCGGCGGAACATCACCGTACGCACCCGATGTAGTTCTCGTCAACGAGTTCATCAAGAAAGACTTCCTGGAGCATGTTTTGAAACACTCACTTCGTTTCCTCGCCGGATCAAGTGGCATCTCAAACGGCTCGACGAACGCAAGAGAACAGAAGAAGTCGTCACGAGTAGCAGAGACGTTCCAAGGGCTTACAGACAGCAAGTCATGGAAGCTGAACGTCATAACGAAAGGAGACAATGGCGCAATTGTTGAGCTGTCAAACCTTTCTTCCCTACCAGCCAAATCCCAACAACCCGTCTTCAGCGTATCAGCCATCACATCTCTCGAGCACGCCATTAGCCTTGTTGAAGAAGACCTAGACCCTCAAGAGAGCCTGCTGGCTGCATATCACTTCGGTACCCCGTCGACTGGAAAATATCTCTCACAATACGTCAATGCCGATACTTCCTTCACAAACAACATTCCCTTCCGTCTACTTCTTGGTCCGGCAGCTCCATCTTGCCAGCCCATCGACGTTGAGAAGCGATATATTGTCCAGCATTTTACTCGTATTTCACCCGCATATATCGCAACACCTTCTTCACAGGCGACATTGTCCAAGGTTCTTTCAGGCAAGGAATCGAAGAAGGCAGCGACAGAGCTCCTTAGTAAAGCATCACAAGAGATAAAGGAGAAGAAGCGCGCTGAGTCGATTGCAATTGGATATTTTGAACAAGGTATCTTTGTTGGGTTGGGTGTGTATGGTATTCCTATCTTGACATGTATTGGTGCGACGCTCTTTTTCGGCGTAAGGGCGGGCTTGAGGAGATGGGCGTTTATCTGAAGTTGCTACTTTTAGTCAAGTCTAAGCATGCATGCCGTCCTTTTTCTCTTCTATAAACTCAATCGTATTACAAATTTCGCAAGACGGCTGTGCTATCGGAACATGAGTACTTGATGCACTGTCAATGTAGAGAGCAGGGCGGAGCTTGCTGGTCATTGACACGAGCAGTCGCATGGTAGGAGTTGAAGTTTTGACCACAGATTGCTGACAACAATAGGCGGAAGTAAAGGCAGGTCAGACAAAACAGTATGCATCTGTCGTAAGTCGCATACAATAAGCTACCTAAGGCGATAACAGAGCTACCCAGCAGTAATAGCGAGATATACATGGTCTTCAAGCTACAAAGCTGATCCCTCAGGAACCCACTTCGCTGTCCAAATCCTCAACCGTTTACCCCAGATCAACATGGGAATCGTCAGCAAGCCAAAAAGGCCCATCAACAACCCAAAGATGCCAAAAGGCTCAGCAGCTCCCTTATGTGTGACCCACTCTCCAACAAAGAACGTCCACGCAAAGCTCACAATAGCCCTAACGAACGTGACGGCAACGAAGCAGTCTCCGGCAAGCACTCCATAAGCCTCAATAAGGTAGTTGAAGCCAACAGAAGGCGCTTGCATAAGCCCGAGAGCGACAAGACCAAAACCGAATTGGAGACCTACCCATCCGGTAGGCGAAGGGTTCTGCGCTACGAAACCGAATATGAGAGAGCCGCTTGTGGCGAGGAAAAGTGCGGGAAGAGCGGTAACAAGACGAGATTCGGGCTCGGAGAAACCGTGGGAATCTTTCTTTGCGAGGCGTTTGGTTGCGAAGTCGGCAATGAGGTAGGTGTAGACCTGGATGCGTGTTAGTGACTATTAATGCCAGGTACGTTGGAGACTTACACATCCGATCAAAGCGCCAAAAACACCACCGATGTTGATCAACCCAACGTTTTTTCCCCAGAGATACGGTGGCGCGCCGACGAGTTGCGGACCAACAGTTGACATGGTAACAATAAGTCCGACCAATCCTGCGTACCAAGCTGAGACGAGCCATACACCAGGTAGCCTGAGCGTCTTGTAGGGAGCGATAAAGTTGCGCATCAGCCCAGGGTGGTACGAGAAGAGCCTCAAAGACTTCATGTGCGAGTACGATGGGTAGGAAGACGGCGCAGCAGCATCAGCAACAGTGACTCTCTCCTTGGTCTCAACAGTATCTTTGTCTGGATCATCGAATGTGACGATACTCTCTTTGCGGTGATACAAGGTCTCTGCCTGGAACACTAGGCAGAGGACGAAGGTGATAGCTGAGAGTATGACGTTCATCCAATGAAGCCAGGATAGGCCCATGTCCGCGACAATGTAGCCACCGGCAACAGCGCCTAGGAGGGAACCCAAGGTCAACATGACGGTGTAGATGGCCTAACGATTGTTTAGTTAATGTCGGTCTAAGTGGAGGTTTTGGAGATGAACATACTAGAGCACGTCCTCGTTGATGGACAAAGAAGATCTCACCAACAACATCCGGGCTCACAGCATCAGCCGGCGCACCTCCAATGCCCATAAAGAGACGAGCAGCCACTAAACTATCGAAGCTCGTAGCAAGTCCAGCCCACATGCTAGAGAAGACGAGAAGCAATAAGCTGCCTAGGATGACTGGGCGTCGGCCAAACGTGTTCGCCAACGGCACCCACCACAGGTTCGATGCGCCCAGCATCAGAATGTTGCATGCAATAAAGTACGTCAATTGCGAAAACGACTTTGGTGGGAAACCAAACACGCCTGTTGACGCGTAGATTGGCAAAGCACTCGAGATGGATGAACTGGTGAAGTTCACCACGAACGGATGTATCGACATGACGGCTAGGATTGCTATCTTGCGCCACATGGGAAGGTTGAGAGGATCCGCTGGGTCGGCTGATGGTTGGGGGACGAGACGGATCTCATCGTGACTTGTTTGCGATGCCGTCCATTCGAGATGTTCTGATGGGGCGTGTTAGCCAGGAAACTTCAGGAGAAATTGACGCATCTTACCGACGAGGGTCGCAGTCCCTGGTGGTCTGGCGTTCCTGACTTCCTCCTTGGAAAGGCTGAATGCCTTTCTCAAAGAAGTCATAATGGTTGCTGGCGGCTACCTGTTCGTGGAGCAGATGGAAAGAGGAGTTGCGATGATGATTTGCGATGCTCACAATGCTCAATACGACGTGTTTGTGGCCATGATACTCTAATCTAAATAGACCGCACGGTTGAACACCACGCTTTGCAAGCATGTCGGTGAGTACGCCCAGTATTTGGTTATCGGCGAATAAGAACGGCCAAAACGCGCCTCAAACTTGTCTCATTGGACGCATGGACGCATCTCGACCCCAGTATGACTTCCTGCCCATGGGGTAATTCGGAATGTGGAGGTGACCGAGGCCTTGCTTAATATGGCCAAGACCGTCAAGACTTGCGGGGTTACGACTTACCGTCTCTACAAACAGCCAATTGTACGCAGCGCAAACCAATATGACTGGCATGCGACTAACCCTAGATCTATCATCTTCCGCTCCAAAGGTATGGATCTGAAGGTGGAGAACGGGTGGAGCACGTGCGCGGCCCTGCTACTGTGACAGCGCTGCGCATGCGGCAGATAGACACGGATTCGGCAGGTACGCAAGTAGAGGAGAAACCACTGAGGGTGCTTGATCTGGGTCCTCACTGGGGTTTGATATTCATGGGTTGGGAGTTGCAGATATAGCGCGAAGACCGCGTTTGAACATTAACTTTGCTCTCGGATATTAATTTGACTCCGTACGCGTCGCGGGAAAGCTATGATCCCCAGATGCTATTGATAAGATCGCAGCAATCCACCAATGCCGCACTAAAGTCAAAGGTGTAGTCCGATATCATCGCGCAAACTCCAATCTGAACTGCCGTTATGGAAGCCGCGTTACTCATCTGATGGCAGATCGGAGGCCTTCCAACAACTGTACCAAGTTCCCGACCAGCGGTGGAGACGGTTCTGACGCGTCATGATGCGCTCGAAGGAGCTGTGTCAAGCTATCCATGACTCCGCAGACGTCGGTCAGTTGGGTGGGATTTTGTGATCCGGAACTCTTGATGGCTGGTATGCCCCGGTCTAGGGTGATGAACTTTCGAGCGCTCAGCAGGTCGTCTCCGTTGAGAACGACAGCTGTATCGACCGGACCCTGTTCCGTCGTAATAGAGCGTTTGAGAATACCGTAGACCCATAGTATGAGCCCCGCATGGTAGACAGCGATGGCGTTGAAGTTACTGAGCAGAGCTTTCGGCAGCACCTCAGCTGCACGCAGGATTTGGCCAGCGTGCCACAGAGCTTGACGCGCTGACGGAGTCTTCGCCCAATCCCGCAAACCAACATACGCGCCCCGTGCCTCTTCCTGCCCTTCGATGCCTGCAAAGAGCTGGATGTCGTCCAAAGGTGCGTTGAGATGGACCAACATGATCTCTAGTGTTATCTCAACACTCTTGCTCATAGGCGGAGTGCTCAGCCTGAAATCTTCAAGCTGCTTTGTGAGCTCTTGATAACGCGACGATAGTATGAGACTGTTCGTAGGCTGCGATTGCGATCTAGATGTCAAGGCGCACATCTGGCGATACTCCCAGATTGGGCCCCACATCATATGAAGATACGTTGAATTGGCATAATCATGAACTTGATGTTCCAAGTTCAATAGGCACTCGGTAGCTGACGGCCGTTTCGTAGTCACTGAAGCCATTTCCAAATACGCCATCTTCCAGGTGGCCGCATTTTTGGCCTGCCACAACGTGTTCGCACTCGGTAGAGGAAGTTGCATCTCGGCATAGGATATAAGCGGTGGCTTGAGGAGTGCCATCGAGGACTGCCGATCAAACTCAAAGGCTCGGTGCACCAAGCGGAGAAAGGATTCTTGACTGACCCAACTCAGCCATTTGCTTTCTAAAACTGAGCCTTGATCGTCGGGCGACGGACTAATCTCTTTCCATGTCGACCGACGAAAGCGACCACCGCGGCGGAGCATTGTCATAAGAGGCTGGAGAAAGCTTTCCGCGATCTCCATCTTCCGGCTGATGCCACTCCACATACCAACTTTGAGCTGCAGAAGGAACGTCTGTAGATGTTGGAGGTCTCTGATGGCGGTGTTGTCCTCTTCGAAGGATTTTGATTGGCCCATCCTCGAAGCTTCATGCAGAGCATAACCTAGCTTTCGCAAAGATATGTCAGGGAGTGTAGCAGCCCCGGCAGAAACTACAGAAGCAAGCAATTCTGGGTTCATTTTCGAAGGAGAGAAGGTCGGTAAATGGAACCACATGGGCGCATCTATCGATGGTGAAGATAGAAAGTATTGGATCAGACCATCCAGTAGCTCCATACTGGGAAAGGCGGACGCTATACGTTTGACATTCTCTGGGCTACATGTACCGAGGACCAAAGCCATCAACCGGTCGCGGCTGGAGCGTGGTAGTCTATAAGTAAAATGAGTACAGTCCATGCCTGATCTACCGCGGATGTACACCTACTTTTCTGCTACCACGCGCCGATGTGTGAAGTTCGAACGCCGGTAGCTGTCTTTCTCTGTGTCTGGCACGGCCAAGTTGACTTGTTCTGCAGTATGATTTCTCGACCGTTGAGGAAGATACCGCCATATGCTCTGTTTGAAGGCTTCTGCCCTTAATGGCGCAGTATCGGTCTCCGACAATTGTTGCTCTGCCCCTTGAGCATCCGTAGATGGCGTATCGGCAGCGAAAGGAACCTGGAAATTGTATTGATCAAGAAGTCCAAGATCGAGGTCAGTCAATCCAACATCAAGATCGAAGCTGAAGTCCATGATACCACGTGGAGTTGCCTGACCAGACATGAATGCCTCGAAAGGGGGCATACTGCGAAAATAATCCGGTAAGAAAGGGTTGTGCCCTGGCGTGTTATCAAAGTGCGACATGGAATTATCGAGGAAAGTCATGGTTGTGTTAGGATCTTCGTAGTTCTGATTCATCACGACGAGTCCACCGCCGTTGTTGGTTGGTGGCTGCATGTCTGTCAAGTTCGTTGTTCTTGTCTCAGGGTCACCAGAATCCACGGATTGCCGGTGCATGTTTGTGGTGGCTGTTATGAGCATGGGCGGTGGGTTGTGAAATGGCTCTGGGGTCTCTGAAGTCGTAGATGCCGAAGGATTGCCGCTCCCGCTGTGAGCCGGCAGCGATGAGGGGTAATCAAATCCATTCGAAAGGTCGAGCAGATCCTGTGCCGCATGAACTGCATCAATCTCATGGATGTCGTTTTCATCTGGGGCAGGAGTTTCAGGTACCCGGCAGGGTATTTTCTTCTTCTTGCAGCGACTACATGGCTTTTCGTCTTCGCATCGAAGATGGCTTTGAGAGCAAGCTTCACAAGCCTGGACAACTCTGGTATCACGAGCAATCTCGCGTTTTTGCCGCTTACTGGCAGGCTCTGTATCGTGGTTTGTTACATGTCTCTTGAGTAAGTCTCTACACAGAATCAGTGAAACGACATTGAAAAGCAAAGCATGACACGTACATTCTGGCAAAGCCTTTGGAGCAGACGGGACAAATATAAGGCTTGGACTTGGTGTCTACTCATGCCGTTAGTTTAGTTAATGAACCATCTATGTAATCTAACGTTGACATATGCTAGTCGCACGAAAGCGATCCTCCCGGCGCAGGTGCCAACTAGCTTCCGGTCAACAAAGCCGCGGAGCAAAGGCAGGGTTACTTGAGTCAAGCTCAATGGTATCATATTGATCTTCGGGATTCTAGCTACTGACTTACGCGCTCTCACGTGTCTTGTGAGGTGATCTGCACGTGTGAAAGACCTCTTGCAAGTGCTACACTGGAATAGGCGCGGTTGTTCGGCAGGTTCTGTGTTGGCTGACTGCGTGTTCGCTGATATCGGGGCAGTCTGCATGCTGAGTTGTGCTATCGGGTGGCTTCGAAAAACAATGGCATCGGGACAGAGGAAAGTGGAGGGAAGCTGGAGATAAGGTTGTGAGTGGGGAGAGAATGCGGAGATCGACAAGACAAGACGCGTTCTTCCCCTCGGCTAGACGCTCGGACAGGTCCTCTGACACTCCCCACATTACGACTTTTGCCGTACAACACCCAGGGGTGTTCTACACAGTATTGATCGCGATGGGTAAAGCTTCCAACAAAGCCGCGTGTCGGGCGATACGTTTTCCGCCCCCGTTCAGTAATATCAGTACCGCTGCGATCCGAACTCTCACATCACGACGAGCACATCAAGCCTAAGCTTCCGTCTGAGCAGCCGGTCAGACCAGATTCTCTCTTTGTTAGGAACAACACATTACCAACATCAAGATGGCTCCACCAGTTCACTTTTTCTCCCATGGCTCAACGATGATGTTGGGCGAAGAGACCAAATCGGCCGACTACTGGAAAGCCTGTGGTGATGAAGCCCTCTCTCACGGCATCAAAGGTGTGATAATGATGGGCGCGCATTGGGACGCGCGTGGCGTAAACCGTATCGATGTGTCAATGAACCCGGCACCCATAAAATCACCCGTCGCGTACGTTCACCCGCGCAAATACAAAGACTACGAGCTCGTCCCAGATCTCGAGAGCGGAAAGAAGTGCATAGCAGCGCTGCGGGAAAAGGGCATTGACGCACGACCGAACGACACATTTGACTGGATCCACGACACATACTTGATTTTGATTAGGATGTTTCCCGAGAAATGCCCACCGACGACTATCATCAGTATGAACTCGCGATTCGATCCGCATCTGCACGCCCGGGTGGGTAACATCTTGGCCAAATTCCGTGACGAGGGCTATCTCATCATTGGTACGGGTGGCGCGGTACACAACCTTTACCGCAACCACTGGTTGCAGATGCTCAGGTACTCGGACAACTTAGCACAACCATACCCGCCAGAGGCACCGATGCTGGAGTTCCGCCAGAGCGTCGAGGATGTCTTTATCCGCTGCTGCAGGAAGGGTGCGAAAAAAGGTAGCTTGACACGTGGTATCACGAGATTGATGAAGCATCCCATGTACCGGGATGCGCATGCGACAGATGATCACTACATGGCGGCATGTTTTGTGGCTGGAGTTGTTGATGGAAGTAAGAGGGACAGCGACGAGTGTGTGCTCGGAGCTGAGGATTGGGAGTTGGTGAACATGTGCAACAGCCAGTTCACTGTTGGTAGATGGGAATAGAGGCTTTAGCTAGTATACATGCAGTTTGTCTTTCAATATCGTTAGTGTACATAATTAGTGTACTAAATCTCCAAGTTTTTTCTTCTTTCGCGACTCCATATCTACTTACGTTCATGAAATCAGACACGTTATCTCCCAGGGGATTGTCTTTCGCAATCTTATATGAGGAAAACATAACGGATGAGCAGATTATAAGTAGTTACTACAAACTCATCATTCGCGCTGTGTATATGGCCTGTGAGAAATGTTGATTTCGCTAATCTAGATACATGTCGTAGTCTATATTTCCGTCCCAATTTCCGTACTCACTATTCTATTTAGGCGGTACGATTGGCAGCGTAACATAGTTTACAGCCTTCTCACTGAAATGCAAATGATTCCACCCCGCAAGCTTCTCCTCACTCCTATCTTCGGGATGGTTATGCTGGAAGATGCCACTTCCTTGCGTATCGCCACTGCTAATCTCAAACACAATCTTGCCACCCTTCTCCACAATAACGTTTGTTGGCCAAACTTCCACGTCCACAGCGTAGACATCTCCAGGTATGACGGGCTGAACGTCAGTGCTGAAGTAGTCTCGCCATGGCAGGTACTCTCTATGTTTTGGGTGGTCGGGATTGGTTTTGCGGAAGCTGACGCGCAGCCAGCCTTTTGCAAGGGGTATAGGGTCTCCTGCTGTGCCGGTGTAGTAGACTTCTTTGCCTTCTGGGGAAATGTAGCGTAAAGTGAGAAAGAGATCGATGTCGGAAGGAGTGGCGCCCTTGGGATGGGCTGAGAGGGACACATTTAGATGTGCGACAATGTGGCCAGTGATTTCAGTCTCTTCCTCGAATGGTGCAGTCGTAAACTGGAGGAGCTTGGGGTCGTCAAGAGTGCCAAGTGCCTCGTACGACAATTTCTGGGGCCTGTTGTGAATAGGCTGGATCTGTGTCAAGGTCTGAGAAGGCGTAAGGTAGAACTTAGAATAACGAGTTCGTGCGATAGGCCACTCGTTCTCTGTGCGCCTCTCGTACACCTTCTCTTTCTCGGCATCGTTGAAGCCCACATCGCCCTTTCGCAGGACCATGTCCACAGGCGGAAGCTTGCCCTTGACAGACCACCCTACTCTGTCATCGCCTTTGAGGAAAGCATCAAGGAAGCTCCGTTGTATCTCGACTTCTTCTTTGTAGTAGAATGGTAGATCGTGCCTTCCAGTGATCATTCGTAGGTACTTGAACTCAGACCCAGCATGTGCGTAGCCTTCGATGTTACCCCTAAGATGGAGCAAAATACCGCCCCAGTTGCCGACGGAAAGTAGCGGTACCTCAATATCGCTCATGTCGTACTCTTTGCTTGCATAGTATGTTTCGTCACGGAACTTGAACTTGGCGGTATCGATCGTTTGGTCTTGTCGGCGTTTTGCACGCACCTCTTCTGAAAGGTCACCGTCGACGGTATCTGGCCCCCAGTTACGCGCTGCACGGCCTGGTTTGCCGTATTGATTGGTAATGACCTGGCGATTCCTGCGTCAAACCGTTAGTATATGACCGAGCTCAGACCGTTTGTATAACTCACCACCAGAAGTCGATGAATTTGTTACTCAGAATGCCTCCGTGACGGCATCGGTCGCGATAGTAGTCGCTCATCCCCTCCCAAGGAATGACTGCGGCCAAACCTTTAGGCTTACGTGCTGCCACACGCCACTGAGATCCGGCATAGTAGCTGATGCCAAGCAAGCCGACCTTTCCAGACGACCATGGTTGCTCAGCTGCCCATTCGACGACATCAAAAAAGGCCTCGCTTGTTCCTCGTGACATTGTGTCCAAGAAGCCTGGAGATTGGCCGAGGCCACGTTCGTCTGCGCGCACGATAATGTAATCGTGCTTCGTCCAAAAGCCGGGATCTGGAGTTTCCCATGCCGAGTGATCAGAATGGTGCTCGGGGTTCACTTCTGAGTATGATTTGCCATGAAAACTGGAGGCATTAGCTGCTGCTGCGCGCGCTTCAGTAGTTGAACTCACTCCTTGTAATGGATATCCTTTCCGTAAGGTCCATAAGTTACCAGCACCGGGAGCTTCGTCCCCTCCTTTGTAGATTTCGGTCGGTAGACATTGCATCGAATGATACCTTCGGATGATGTCTTCAGTGGTACGGCGACATTCTCCTCAAAAAGATAGGGAAATGACGACTCGTCGATGGAATAAGCGTCCTTTACTTCTAGCTGGTCAGACATTTTGTGTGTGATATTGGAAGTGCAAGAAACATACTCTTTCCATCATTTGGATATATACTACATATTGCGACGCGTAGTGGGTTCCTGTGCCGACAGCGCGCCGTTGACAAGGTGCGGCGGTGTTCGAGGGGCACATTCGGGATGTGGAGGTACCAGACTCTATTGGCGCGTTGCCTAAGTAAGCCATGATAACACGCGAGAACATGAAAGAAGAGCATGTGCTTTACTTGAGATGATAAATAGACTCTTCGTTTTTAGTTTGCCACTGGTAACGAGCTCGTACGAGTTTTGAGCGGTTTAAACCTCAAGAAATATGTGCATCAGATCTTACATCGTTGGAATGATTTGTGGAGAGATGATATGGTTTAGAACGCATCGGCATTTATTTACAACGGTATCTACAGCTCATGTGATCCTAGAAAAGATAATGCCACTATGATGATGCTGGAACACCCTTCATGCTTCCATAGTCCTCTTTCAAGACTTCACCCTCGACCTCTACCGGTTTGCATTCTTGAAGAACATACATCATGCGACCCCAAGATGTAGAGCTGGTGTTCCTCCAAGCGTGCATTGTGCCCCTCTGAATTGCGACATCTCCTCTCTTCATCAATCTTGTCTCTCCAGAATCTAGCACCAACTCCATTTCACCTTCCAACACGACACCGTAATCTAAAGAGACTGTGCGATGCATTGGCGACAGGTGACCAGGCGCCACATCGACGAATCGTAGAACTGTCCCCCCTGAAGCGACCAGGCCTGGAGGCGATTCGAGGTAAGGCTTGTAAACTGCAAGGTCGGCGTCTTTGTTCAGATCGACCGGAAATCCCTTGGTAACATATCCGAGCCGGAAGTCAGCACCAGGAATATGGTCGACTTTAGCTTCTTCTGGGACGGCATCAGAGAAGATGGCTTTCTTGGTTGTAGGGTCGTGGGTTGTGATGAAGCGATGGACTTTTGGGAGATCGTTCGTGATTTCGGGCTTTGACGCCATGATGAAATATAGACTGTAGGAGCAACAAGGTAGTTGAGGGCGAAGATGCCAGTATCGTAGTAAGCTGATGAAGATACAAAACGAGACTTCAAAATAGATTCAAGGGATGATAGTCGAATCAACCAGAGAGTGAGATGTGTATCGAAAGGCTCATCTATGGCCTCCCGATGTGGAGGACATGTTCACAGACCCTGAATGTAGCATCTGCCGACGCGTACTCGGTACATCCCGTGCGGGGTCTCGTACGAGGGACTAGGTGAACCACCTTTAGTCTATAAGCGGTATATTTATGGACGAATAAGGGTTTGTGGTCTGTGGGAAAGCTTGAACAAGAGACAAAGACATGCTACGAAGCTAGGTGTTGCGTGTTATGTTTATCGATTAGAAGACACGCTTGGCCGCTTTCGTGCTAGACTGAACGCGTACTCGCGGCCATCTTTCCGCGAAGTCTGAATAAGAACCGCTGCGTCAATGTTGACCGGATAACCATGGAACGCTTAGTCCCCGCTATTTGCTTCTCATTCGATACCATGGCCGTTGTGCCTTCCGTTCATAGTAACACACATGCGGAGATGGGATGTGGAGGGGCGGCCTCCGAGATGGACATCCCCACCTACACGCGCCGTCAGCTCTCCAGTCGCGACTCTAGGTTCAGGTAAAGCCTTGAAGCTGTGTTCTGGGATTCGAGTATTGCGAAATCGATACCACAAATTACTTTGTGCTCACAAGTTAACCGTCCTCTGATACCTACAAAGCTCTCCTTCACACAATGGCAGACAATTACGCTTCGCATTTCAGCGTGAACAACATCCCATACGGGATTGCAAGCTCGTCGAAACGCCATGCACCACAATGCGCGACACGAATTGGTGATGAAGTCATCTTCCTGGCAGAGCTCGCGGAGCACGACTCTTTTAAGGCCATCGCAGCACCGCTATCGTCCATCTTCCGCGAACCCACACTGAACACGTTCGCCGCTCTAGGGAAGGACATTCAAAGTGAAGTGCGTTCTGCAGTACGAGAAGCATATAACAGCAAGTCATATGCCAGATACTCGGAAAACATCAGCGATGTTACCCTCCATATGCCAGTACATATTGGAGACTTCACAGACTACAGTGCTTCTGCCAACCACGTTCTCAACGCAGGAGAAGCAGTAATGGGAGTCCGTTCTTATCCTCCAGCCTTCAAAAAGTACCCCGTTGGCTACGCGGGTCGGTCGAGTTCGATCACTATGTCAGGAGCGCCCGTCACGAGACCTTTGGGTCAGTTCATCGAAGACTACACTGTTCCAGATAAGAAGATTATCTTTGGACCATCGCGGGGTTTGGATTACGAGATGGAGATTGCTGCAGTCATTGGCAAACCTGTAGAAGCTGGGACTTACCTGAACGCGAAAGATGCCGACGACCACATATTTGGCCTAGTTCTGTTGAACGACTGGAGCGCAAGAGACATTCAGGGCTTGGAAATGAACCCCTTAGGCCCATTCAACGGAAAGAACTTTATGACTTCAATCACGCCTTGGGTTGTTACGCTAGAAGCATTGAAGCCTCATGAAGTCTCGGCCCCGCCTCGTATGGAGCCTGTAGCCTCTTTTATGGACGACCCCAAAAGTATCAACTACAATATCCAGCTCGAAGGTCAGATCATCCGAAACGGTAATCAGACTACGACATGTAAGGTTGGCTTCGAAACAATGTACTGGACCTTCAGACATATGTTAGCGCACCATACTATTGGCGGATGTTCACTCCGGACAGGAGATCTGATCGCCAGCGGAACAGTTTCTGGCGAACAGGACCATGAACACGGATGTTTGCTCGAGTTGACAAAGAACGGCAAGGCTCCAAGCAAATTGAGCGATGGATCTGAGCTACGCTACCTTAATGATGGGGATGAAGTTCGCTACATTGGTGTGGTTGGCGATGGAGAGGCTGGAGTCGGATTTGGAGCGTGCATTGGCACCGTAAAGCCTGCCCGGAAAATATAGAAGCATCTAACCATTTCCCGAGTGACGATCGCTATAACTTTCGGCTGAGAGAGGGGTGAGGCATAATGGTTGTACAGTCTGAGTGGGGTTGACCAATGTTCAGCTGCGTCCTAATCCAGCAATTGGTTGGCAAGCGTGGTACATATGCGAGGGGCTGCATATTACCGCCAAAGGGTCATTGCATTGGAGCCTTCCAATGGTTTATCGGTCCTTTGGGCTTTGTGCATTAAAGCCTAAGTCTCTCTAGCGACGTGTAGTCCAGCCTCTCGTACGCAATCCATAAGTTTCAGCTCTCATATCATTCCTTCATCCTCTCTCGTGTTTTAATCCCATCTTCGCGTGAGCGTCTTCCGACCTTGAATGTCCTCTCGAACAACAGCAAACGAAATAAGGTTATCCCACACTTGTGCTGCAGTCACAGCTTCGTTACTTGCAAGGCTGAGTCAGTTCTCGAGTCTGCATAAACCCTGACACCTACAATCATGGCAGAGTGAGTACTATACTGATGATTCATCTACTTGTTCACGATCTGGTATGTCGCGTTCCTGGATAGTATTATTGACATGTTGTCCAGATTCCACTCCGCTGCAGAGCTACGACCATCGAAACTCGCCTTTGGAAAACGCGTATCCGAGAAGTCCAAGTCCCAAGTCGAGAAACGCAAGCGGTCGATGAGCACCCCTTCTGCTATTACGCCTGACCTCGATCAACTTCAAGGTGTAACCCCAGGTCCATGCGCGCGAGATTCCTTTCCCCCTCACCACGTGCGCACGTGTCGGATTACGTCACATCCTGTCAGAAGGGTACTCCTGAAGGCTCGTCGACAAACATGCCAAGGAGATCCTGTGCAGCCTAGACCAGGTTTCAGTATATTATCTCTCGCATTTCCTGAGCCACATATTGATTACCCTACCACTACGCACGCCTCTCCGCACGATTCAGGAGTCGCGGAACAACAACACGACGTGCCCAGGCTACACAGGAAGGAACCACCCCAGCTCACCGTAAGAGACGCAATTGCAGAGCAGCTCGTGAAGTTGCGGCTACCAGCTACCACGCATACACCACTAGCACCTACAGGAGCAACGGTGCCTCGGAGCACGATAAACTTCTCGTTTCCCTTCCAACATTCCGACTCGGCCAAAGCTGCAAGATCAGCGTGGAATAGAATGGCTTCCTCGAATCCCCTCTTGCCCAGTTTTCGAGGACAACTGAACCGACCAGATACGAGTGCAATGGATCTAGACTTTTGGCGACGACATGGAGAGAACAGCACAGATCCCATAGTCATCAATGACCATGGTGACGATGAATGTGATCTTAGGAGCATAAGTTCCTTGGAGTCCTTGGAGTCCGCCGGACTATCACGTCAATTGATCAACAGACGACGAACTCGACCTATTCTTATGGACCAGAGTCCCAGCGGGCCATGCATCAGTATTACAACAGCGGATAGCTTCGAGAACTCTGAATCTCAAGTTTCGGCTCTTATCTCAGATTGCATAGATGATGCTCGACACGACCGCAAAGCCTGGGAAGAGAAAGACCACCGGCTTGCTCAGCTTCTACAAGAGAAGATGCGTCTAACTCCAGCCCAGCTCGCAGAGAAATCTGGATCACCAGCAGCTCTAGCTGAGTCTCCTGAGATCGTACGATTGGAGACTCTACGGCAGGCTATTACTCATGTCTGCACACGAAATTACACCAATATGGACTTCAACACAGAAGAGGGGACGCATTTACGGCGTCGTGACTGTGTTGTCTGCGACGATAGCATTGCCATTGGCGATCTACCCTCACTTACTGACTGCGAACATCGACCCGAGACATGCGCAGGCTGTTATGCGGATTGGATAACTACACAGCTTCAAGGCAGTACTTGGCGTGAAGCTAAATGTCCGGGAAGCGATTGCAATGTTGTCTTGTCGTATCATGACATTCGGCTATACGCGAGCTCTGAGACTTTTGAAAAGTACGACACATTCAAAGCCCAGGCTCTCATCAACGAAGACCGTGAGTTATGATGCAATACACTTCGATAGACTAGGGAGGTAAACGCTGACAATGACAGCCGATTTTCGATGGTGTCCAGCCTCCGGCTGTAATTCTGGTCAGATCCATACTACTGGCGTCGCAGGTAACATCTTTACTTGTTCGGGATGTGGGAGCAAAACCTGTGTTGTCCACGAGAACACATGGCACGAAGGCGAGTCGTGCGCTGACTTTGACTCCCGAATCTCCGGCCGTCAGCAACGAGAACAGAAGGCGCAAGAAGAGGCGAGTCTCAAAAAGATCAAGGAGCTTACCAGGAAGTGCCCTGGCCCTGGATGCGATTGGAACATTCAGAAAAACGATGGGTGCGACCATATGACATGTGGGTTTTACCTCTTTCAACGCAAGTCTTTCGCTGACGATTACAGGTACAAAATGTGGCTACGAATTCTGTTGGATTTGCCTTTGTGATTACAAGAAGGTCTTGCGAACAAGCAATGCAGCCCATGCGAGGTCCTGTTCTCATTGGCGTCCGTAGTTTTGGATAGGTAGGGAAAAACGGCGTCGGAGATATTGCGCTTTCACTGTAAGAACATGGGATTTCCGAAAAGAAGCTAGCATACGTGCAGCAATCATGTTTGCTTTTAGATCTGAGAGATTCGACCGTAGCCTAAATGTAGACGAGGATTTACCGTGGTATACGGTGTATACGCTGTAAAATTACACCGCGATTACAGTAGCGCCCCATGTTGATGTCACGGACACGGAGTCAGCAGACTCCGATTGGTGCGCAGTCCCCCTAGCCTCGAGCAACTCCCAAATTTGTACCTCTTGTCAACAAACACAAGGCCTTCACCTCCGCATTCTGTGCCATTGGTCGTGTGCGCTTTGTGCTTAGCCTTCATGGTCGTGCTGTGACGGCATCTGTAACTTCTTCTAGCGCCAGCTTTCTTACTGCATCCTCTTACCGTCCCGCCTTAATTTTTTCGAGTCTGAACCCCTTTCACCGCGCATCGCCACAACTGCAACTACAGCCACCATGTCGATGCGAGTGACGCGGTCGCAGGCCGGAAAGACGCCTCAGTGAGTGGATTCCAGGTTGCATACGCGTGCTATGCAAATCCGTGCATTAGTTGCTGACATGCATAACCCAGAAAGCCCGATCGCCCTGGCTTCGTCGAGACCCCTGGACGCAGGAAGTCGCAACGCAAGTCTCTTGCATCCGATGGATACGAGTCGACGCCTGAGCCAGAGAACTTCTTGAAGCCGTTCAAGTCTAACGAGAGTGATGTGAAGAAGGAGGCCGAGGAGAAGAGCAACGGACACGCCAACGGAAATGGACATGCAAACGGAAACGGACACACCAACGGCTACGCGAATGGACACAGCAATGGCAAGGCAAACGGACACGCAAAGAGCGAAAGGAAGATCGTCGAGCTCGACTACAAGATGGAGGCGGAAAAGTTCTTCTCTCCAAAGGACAGATCTGGCCTGCATGAGTTCGGCGGCGCCATTGGTATGGGCAGCATGATGGTCTGCTTCCCAGCCCTCATGTACTACATGTGGATTGGAGCCACCTTCTACGACGGCAAATTCCCTACGCCAACCGAGGGCCAGAGCTACGGAGACTTTTTCGGACACATGTGGTATCTTGTAAAGACGGAAGCCTTTCCGAACAACAAAGCGTGGCAGATTTACTGGTTCTTCGGACTCACGCAGATGGCCTTCTACATGTTCATGCCGGGTGTCTACCGCAAGGGCAAGGCACTTCCCCACCTTGGTGGAAAGCAGTTGGACTACTACTGCTCGGCTATGTGGTCTTTCTACTCCAGCATTGTCATCATGTTGACTCTTCATTTCACTGGCGTCTTTAAGCTTTACACTCTGATTGACGAGTTTGGTCACATCATGAGCGTAGCCATTCTTTCAGGCTTCCTTTGCTCTACTATCGCATACGTCTCAGCCCGCGTCCGCGGTGCTACTGTCCGAATGACCGACAACCTTATCGTCGACTTCTTCCTCGGCTCAGAGCTCAACCCTAGACTTTTCGGTATTCTGGATTTCAAGATGTTCCTCGAGGTCCGCATTCCATGGTTCATCCTCTTCTTCCTTTCCCTCGGTACCTGCTTGAAGCAGTACGAGCAATATGGCTACGTGTCTCTCGAAGCCATCTTTCTGCTCTTCGCGCACTACCTGTACGCCGGCGCCTGCGCAAAGGGCGAGCACCTCATCATCACGACCTGGGACATGTATTACGAGAAGCTCGGTTTCATGCTCATCTTCTGGAATATGGCTGGTGTACCTCTCTCGTACTGCCACTGCACCCTATACATCGCTAACCACCATCCTTCGGAATACGGCATGCCAACCTGGTTTACCGCCCTCCTTACCTTCACCTACCTCTACGTCTACTACATCTGGGATACGACCAACTCGCAAAAGAACCAGTTCCGTCAAGAAGAACGTGGTGTTGTCGATGAGCGTACTACCTTCCCCTACTTCAAATATGGACGCATCGCCAATCCAAAGACAATCCAGACATCCCATGGAAACAAGATTCTGGCTGACGGTTGGTACGGCAAAGCGCGCAAGATTCATTACACATGTGATCTCTTCTTCGCCGTCAGTTGGGGTCTCATCACTGGGTTCAAGAGCCCGTTCCCTTGGTTCTACTCCGTGTTCTTCGCGGGTATGATTATTCACAGGGCGCTGAGAGATATTGAAAAGTGCAGGGAGAAGTATGGTGAAGCATGGAAAGAGTACGAGAGGCAGGTGCCTTATTTGTTCATTCCGGTAAGTCCAATCAATTCCGTCCTGAGTGAAATTATGCTAATGTCCTCCCAGTACGTCTTCTAAGTTTACGCTGTCCTTTTAAACTTTGTCCCTCGTCCGTTGCCTGATCTTCTAAGATCTACCCTATCTTCGGACATTTTTGCGCGACGGACTGTTTTGTAGTATACCATACCATTCTTCTCGCAGTTCCAGGTTTTGGCCAGGTTGGATGGGTATCGTAATGTTTGTAATGGCAGTAGTAATGTATGATGTGATGTACCAGACTCGGCACAAAAGGAAAAGTGAAACTCTATGTATGCCTACCTACGAGACGCGAACCCCTGTACGTGTGCCAAGCCCTGCGTCAGCGGGCCCTAGGCGCCAAAAGTTTGGACCCTCATCTTTCGTATTCGCAAACTGTCCTCCTCCACCACACCACAGAGCGATCGAACCCCGCACGCATCGCCCACCATGGACGCTCTCAAATCCGCCATCCAACCCATCACACACAACCTCCCCCAGCCCATCGCCGACGTGGGCATCTCCCTCCTCGGCCCCTCATGCTACAAAACCCTCGTCTACAACGTTGACCTAACCGCAACCGAATGCGTCAAGCTGGCTATCTCCAAAGGCCTCGGTATCGGCATCATCGGCGCCTCCTCCATCGTCAAGATTCCACAGCTGCTCAAGTTGCTCAATAGCCAGTCGGCCGAAGGTCTTTCCTTCCTCTCATACCTCCTCGAATCGAGCTCGTACCTCATTTCGCTGGCGTACAATGTGCGCCACGGGTTCCCCTTTAGCACGTATGGCGAGACGGCCTTGATTCTCGTGCAGAATATTGCTATTGCGAGTTTGGTGCTCAAGTACAGTGGACGGGGTGCTGGTATTGCGGGGTGGGTTGGAGGTCTAGCTGTTGCGGGTGCGGCCTTGTTCAACGACCAGTGGATTGACGCGGAGAAGTTGAGTCTGTTGCAGGCTACGGCTGGTGTACTTGGTGTGGCAAGCAAGGTGCCGCAGATTCTGACCGTGTGGAGTGAGGGTTCGACGGGCCAGTTGAGCGCTTTTGCTGTAAGTTCTTGACATTGCTATCCCATGCGATGAAGAAAGGGGTAGTTTGCTAACGTGGTCCTTTTAGGTCGTCAACTACCTCCTCGGTTCCCTCTCCCGTATCTTCACGACCCTCCAGGAAGTCGACGATCCGCTTATCCTCTACGGCTTCATTGCTGGTTTCGCCCTCAACGCCATTCTCTTCCTCCAGGTCGTGTACTATTGGAATGCGCCGGCGTCCAAGAAGACGCAATCAAAGAAACTGGAGGAGCCTATCGCAGCGGACAAGAAGGAAACCGCGCGCGCCGTCTCGAGCGGATCTGCGCCGTCGTATGCGGAAAAGGCGGGCAAGAGTCCTAGCACAAGACGCAGGGGATAGACCAATCTCTTTTCCCCCCGGGCTGTTGGCCGTGCTTGGATTTTTAGTTGTTTTAATACACATTTGACTTGCGACTCCATGACTGTGCTTGGTTGATGATTACACGTATATTCAATACACAAACATGCTAATCTATGCTCAGTTGCATGCTTTTGGGGAAGAACATTTTCAACATTGATATCACAAAACGGCGTTTTCCTTCTCAGTTCATATCTGCTGAGGTGTGGTACCTACAGCGTGTGGTGGAGGCATTGGCGGGACCTCCCTCCTATCAGCCAGATCCCCCGTTGGTGACATCATAGTCTGCTGGTTTTGGAGGACGGTATTGACTGGAGGTGGAGGTGTAGGTGCGGGCGAGATACCCGCTGGTGGGTGGTATCCCGTATCCGTCAACCTTCCATTTACTGGATTGTAAACACCAGCGCCTCTCGATTGCAACTCGTAGTTGTCGTCATCTTCCGAAGAGGAATAGTCGTAAGTGTCCATTCGACGTTGGCGCGCGACATCCGCTGCAAAGGGATTTGTGGCCGGCAACTGGTTCTGGTACGTGTGCACTTTCGAGGTCATGGTAGATCCCATTGTGCCCGTTCGGTAGTTGCTCGATGCTAATGTGTCGCTTCGATCTACGCCATACTGCGATCCTGATTCCTGGCGTCTGCGTTGCGAGTTATGAATCTGTTGGCGGAAGACGTTGCCTGTCGGTTCGCCACTACCCTCAGGCACAGCAGTCGTAGAGGAATAGCCAGACGCTTCTCCGCGCTCCACGTCCACTGGCTTGTCCATGCGCTGCAGCGGTTGCACGTCCTCGTCGATCGTTATTGTGGGTTGTGGCGGTGCGCGCGATGCCTTGCCCCAGGCTCGGATGGGGTATGCGCGTCCTTTGCGCCACGTCTCGGAGACGGGTGGGAAATATTGGCGGTAGGAGCCCCAGGCTACGAGTATGCCGAGTAGAGCGCCAGACAGGACGTCGAATGGGTGATGACGGGCATCCATGATACGTGTGCCTGTGATCAGAGCAGCGCCGAGGGCAGGGACCATGACGAAGAAAGTCCTCCAGACCTCGCCCTTTGCATCCAGAACATGCAGCTTTCCGGCGAGGTAAATGGAAAGGTAAAAGAGACCAGCGAAGGAGACTGAAAATCATTAGTAGTCTTCTTGGGCAGGAGAGGGTGTCACATACCACTGCTGTGGCCAGAGGGAAAGCTCTTGAAGCCATCCTGTAGAATGTAGTTGTCGGTCTGCGTGCAGATGTCGATGGTCTGGAGTACGTATTTGCCTGGAGCGATCTTGGATTCGTCTACAATGCAGCGGCTGATGAGATCCGGTCGCGGCTTGCCAATGGCATTCTTCAAGGCGCCTGTGATGGTGAAAGCAGCGCCAATGCTCAAGCCAAGGCCCAGTATGCCACAGTTGAGCTCCCACAAGCGGTCCTTGAACCTGTATCTTCCTGAGAGGCGCTTGATACCAGGCCCACGCACGGGCATGGTCGTCTGGTGGGAGAAGAGGCCGTCGATGACCATTGTGTATATTGCGATGATGACAGCGGGAGCCAGGACGACGTAGACGCATAGCCAGGGTACGGGTACGCGCTCATGTTCGGCGAAAGGGTAGTGGAGAGTGTAGTTTTCGAGGGCGAAGTGTTGGTGAAAGGGCGGGATCTTGTCGACAATGGAGAAGGTCAACATAAGAACACTATAGCCTTGTTAGTTGAGCTGGGAAGGAGATTGTGTGCTCGGAAGGGGCGGCCTTGCACTATGATGAGGTAGTCGCCGATATATCTGTGCTCGTTAGTCTCCACAACTTGTTCTATGCAGGCAGTTGTACACACGAGAAGATGACCTTCTTGGGAAGGCGCTTCTTGGAAAAGGGAAGGCGCTCAGGGAGCTGTTTCGACGTCCAGTCGTCCATGATGCGCTACAGGACCCAGCCAGTCGCGAAGCTCGTTATTCGCAGGCTCTCCGGGAGACAATTGTCGTCGTTTGCTCTAGTGCTGTGCTGTTTGTGCTATACGAAGGGGGCAGACGTGAATGTTTTCGGGGGTCCGCAAAGACGGCACCAAGCATGCGACCCTCCGGGGGGAATGCCAAGGGCGGAAAGGAGAAGTGAAGGTGAATGCAGAGTCAGCAGGAATATAAAGGACAGTGGGTTTGTCAGAAGACGGTTGTGTATCCCTGGGGTCAGCAACGCCGTGGGTGAAGGATGTCTGGAAGTGGTACTGGGCCGACTATGCAGCGCCGCCGTGCTCAGCTTGTGGCTGTGAGAATGGAGCTGACGCGCTCTCAGACTTGGCCCTCTCCACAGCAGGTCCGCTAGCCGCCTCGAGATCAGCGCCAATTATACGTCGGCCTTGGTACGCGGAGCATTATTTACGTTGCGATAAGGTTCGTGTAGTCTGCACGCCGCAACGTCTAGTACTGCGGCCGTATGCACGGCAGGACAAGGCATCCGAGCCGAGCTGGTAAAAGAAATACGGTATGCCAACAATGGGCCTGTTCCATGTGGCGCATCCAACGGAAGCGACGATCGGACCCAACCTTAGCGCGCCATGGCGATCAGCTTATTTTGTCACCGCCTCAGGGTCCTACACTCTACATCTATTCCTGTATCGCCATGTTTTCCTTATTCGCCAGCGAGAAGCCTCAACCCAAGGCTGCCGAGGTTGCCATTCAGAAGATCTCAAACATCTCCGCCACCCACCTGTCTCGCTTCGAGCGTCTTCCCAAGGTCCAACGCTATGCCATCATAGGTGCTGCCTCCGTTGGTGGAGTATCCCTCCTCTACGCTTTGACGCGCTCTTCAAAGTCTGCCAGGCGTCCTCCTATCCCATCTCCCAGAGATTCGCTGCTTCCGGACTTGTCTCCTGAGGATGCTGCAGATCTTCCCTACCATCCAGCTGCGTTGCCAGGAGCCCGGGATGTCGACTCACCATGGGGAACTATCCGCGTCTATGAATTCGGCCCAAGAGACGGAGAAAAAGTTTTACTCATTCACGGGATCTCGACACCTTCAATTGCTCTGACTGACTTGGCACACAAGTTGGTTGGCAGGGGACGACGTGTCATGCTTTTTGGTGGGTCCTCCTTGCTGTCACTTCTAGTTTTTGCCACAACACCTCTCCTTTGGTTGTTTCAAGGCCTTGAAACGCACAACATCCTCGGATTGGACGTTTGGTATATGCTTTTTCTTCACGGTTTCCATGATCGTCACATCTGCATACCCCACGTTGAACCGGGCGTAAAACCGTGTCATGGTCCTTGTTACTTTACCCGTTTCGGCAAGGGGCCCGGCAGCCCTACCTAACGGTGAACCACGTGCATCGTCCATGCTGTTCCAGAAACCCGTCTTTACGGGGTTATGCTATTCCAAAAAATAAAATACTAACAACGCTCACAGACCTCTTCGGTCGCGGCTACTCTGACGGCCCGTCACCAGACACAACCGACTATGACTCCAGCCTCTTCACCACCCAGATTTTGCTTGCACTCCAATCATCGCCCATCCATTGGTCAACCTTTACCATAGTTGGATACTCCCTTGGCGGTGCCATCGCTGCAGACTTTACGTCGTACTTCCCTTCGCTAGTCCGCGGCCTTGTACTTGTAGCTCCTAGTGGTCTTATCCGCAAGTCGCACTTCTCCATTTCCAGCAGCATGCTATACCGCAGCTCGTGGATGCCAGAGTGGATGGTACGCAAGTTTGTTGCAAGTAGGCTATGGACAGGAGCAAAGGTCGTAGAGAGTGATCCTGAGGCCGTAGAGAATGCCGAGACCACCACGACGGCGAGCGAGGGAGATAAGACGTATGTGAGCAGCAACCAGATGCTTTTGCCAGGCAATCCACATTCCACCGTTTCTTCGGTCGTGGATTGGCAGATTCAAAATCACAAGGGTTTCGTGCCGGCCTTCATATCGACTATCCGCCACGCGCCCATCTACAACCAGCACGACCGCTGGAGCGTCATTCGTGAGAACATCGAGAACCGTGCCGGTCCGCTAAAGGAAGTCTGGCTTATTCTCGGCGAGACAGACCCCATCATCAATGCGGATGAAATCACTGAGGACGCAAGGGCAGTACTCGGCGAGGACAATGTCAGGGTTAAGGTGCTGGACGGCGTAGGTCACGAAGTCGCCATCGAACGTGCGGATGATGTCGTCCGGGCTGTAAGACGAGTTGGTACCAAGAGCGAGGAGGTCCGAGAAGTTAGGGAGGAAGTCGCTGCTCCCGAGCCGGTCGAGAAGCCTGAGAAGCCCGAAAAGCCTGCGAAGGCCGATAAGAGTGAAAAGAGCGACAAGAAGGAGAAAAAGAGCTCGAGCCGGAGGAAGCACGGAGGCTCGCACGCCAGTTCAAGCACGAAGTGAGAATCATGAAGAAATGACGGAAATGCGTCACGACGAACCAAAGAATGTATAAGAATATATAAGAAGAATAACAGAAACTCAACGCTTTGACGTGAGTTATAAAGATCTCAACTGTTCATTCAACATGCATAACTCAAATTCTCGGTCTGAAATATTTACAACGAAGGTAACCCCATCAATCTATCCACTCCACACAGCCGGTCCAGGAGGCGTGTAGCTCGTGGGAACAGGGTAGTAAATGTTGATTTGAATACCCTTGTCATCCGCCTTGTAAGCTCCTGGGAAAGCAACCTTGGGTCCTGGTGTTCCACTGCCACCGTTCTCAACCTTCAACTGCGCGCACGAAATGTAGAACTGTGCGCCGCCAACTGCAGAAGCGGAGTGTAGCGCGATGTGCTCGACGCGCATAAGGTATTCGCCCGAAGGAAGGGACTTGGGTAGGGGCACTGAGACTTCTTGTTTGCCTAAATGCAGAACGTATTAGCGGGATGTCCTGGAGGTAATCGAGACGACAGGAAGAAGGGGGGACAACTTACCACTCGAAGGCCAGTTCATCTGACCACCAGAGAAGTCAGCACCCTGACTGTAGATCTTGAACCACACATCACCACTTCCATCCCAGTTAGCCGCCGTCTTGCCCTCTGGCACTTTCGCAAGGTAGAATTGCAGGGGTCCTGGATGCGAGATGCTGGACACGGCTGTGAAGCCGACAGAGTCTCCGGCATTGACAGTGTAAGTTTTTGAGCCAGTTCCGGGGGAGAGTTCGTAGCAACGGATGGCGTTGGCTGTTACATCTGTTGTGGGGCCGTTGGACTGGTAGTTGGCTGTCTTGCGGACATAACTCCATTGACCAGTCTTTGTCCCTTTGACAGTGAGCTCGGGAAAGGTGTAGTGGGCGCTCGCCGTGCTGGCGGCAGCGAGGAGGGCGATGAGGACGGACTTCATGTTGACGACTGTCGGACCTTGCTATTGTGAAGAGAATGCGATGGTTGTCCTGATGAGTACTATCCAAGGTACTCAGACTGCCTCTATATATATGATCATCAACGGCTTGATGCACTCGTCACGTACCCAGGTTTCTCTATATTACAGTACTAATGCACCCCCATCATCTACCGTGTGGTACTTCATTTTGGCTGCCGCCTTGCGCACGCGATGGTCAAGCATATTGTTCCCGCCGGGTAAAAGAGTGGTTGGCGCTGAACCCACTGCCGAACCTGGATGTTGAAACGCTGGACTAGTCACAATTAATTCATGAGAAACATATTGGTGTTTAGATGAGATGAGTGGCGCGAAGACGTGGTGATTGGCTGGTAGCCTTCATGCCCTGTCCGGTAGTCGAAACACATGACCCGGGGTATATTACAATACCCTGTGTATAACCGATCTGTATCCTGCTTCCAGAAGCATGTGGTGCTCCTAATCGGATAGTGAAGCCTTGCGGGAATAATTCGAGTATTCGCAGTCGGAATGAGCATGACGATGAGCTATTGGATATTATCTTACTGCGCTGGTCACTCAAGTTCTTGCCGCTAGCCAGATTGGGCTCGGCCGACAAGACTGATATACACAAGGGCAGCTGCGCATCATGCTCTCTACACTCTATAACGGCACTACGACCGCATCGATGACAGTTCATTCATTGCCATTTGGCGTTCCAGAACTGATTTTGGCCGCTCAGCGAAACGCGTGGCCTCCTCAGGCCTATCCGTGATTGCATACTATGGCATCGTTGGCAACCACTGCCTACCTAAGTATGTCGACAATATTGGAAATGCGCTGGAAATTGTGGATCATGATGTTCTATACTCATTGAAGCTCGTCAAAAAAATGCAGCTTAGTAGCTACAGATACACTAAATCTCATCATCAGCCTGGCCTTCCAGGTCATCATCGTTCGCATCTGGCCTTTCTGCCATGCCCAATTCTTTGAGCAGAACAGGTGGATAGCACGATTTCAGTTTCGATGACCCCACAGACCTGTCTACCTGTATCTCCTTGATCTCCCACCAGTATCGTTGTGTCCAACTAGAAACGCTTGCAGTTCCGGTCGCACCGAGTGACTGAGATTTTCTTACCATGGCAAATCTGCTACTAGTCGTCTCGTCGAAGTCTTTAGCACCGAGCAATTCCAGCCTAAACCTACTTTGTTCGAGGTCATTATTGACTGGATCATTGTTGAACGCCTCAAAATCCTTATCAAACGAACTGATCGTTCCATCTATCCTTTGCCGTAGACAATCCTTCGCTTCCACATTACCAATATTACTGCTATCAATCCAATCAAGTATGTGTATGGATGGTCTCTGCATGAATGGTCGCTGCACATCGTATGATGCGAGGTCGAACACGAGGCCGTCTTCAGCCTTCAACTCATTTGTGTTTGCTTGGATCTTGCAGGAGGCGGAATCGCACCACCTCCATCTATACCCGCCTTCGAATTTTTCTTTCCCTTCTCCCTTGTAGAAGTAATCGAGGGTCCATGCATTGAGTATTTCGACAGTGGGCCTGTCTGTAGTAGATTGGTCTCCAATAGCATTAGCGTCAAGCGATAGGCCGACCGTATCCGAATTGTAAGGTTTGTCAACAATGAGAATGAGGACTTGTACAGTAGGCATTCTTACCGTAGAGGGAGTATCCCGGTAATAGTGTTGCTTGACGATGATGGCTAAAGCGGACAAGTGGACTTTGTGATACTTATACAGGTGTGTACGCGTAAACACTTCGTAGCAATTGTTTGTCACGACGATACAGCAGCTCATGTGCCAGCAGCAAAGCTTGCTGACAGTTGGTTCTATCTGGTTTCATCTGCACCTTGAGTTCACTCAAATGAAGAGGCCATATAAGAGGGTAGGTGGGGGACTTGCTTTTCTGGCGAAGAATGTACATCTCCAGAGTTACCTACATAGCGTCCCGCGGGTGCAACCAGAGGTAGTCACGATAAGCTTCACACAACCTTTCGGTCCTACTCTACAACGGAAATCGTATCTTGACGTCGGGTTGTGGAGGGTCCAAGCACGGACATTGTGTTGCAGTGAAGCGCGGCCGCCGGGAGAACTCGGATAGTCGGGCGATCTCGAGCGAGCAGATGCACCGAACAGCGAACACCACTATCACCGGCCGGAAGAGAAAAGCAGTTCTTGTTTGACATAGTAAATTGATATTGAATCTGATGGTGTTGGTATAGTACACAAGTCGTAGCCCAATGTTGGGTCTGTTGCTAAATGCTAGAAACGCTAAATGCGAAACATATTTCCTCAATGTCACTTCTCGAGATACACGTAGCAGTGACACTTTGGGTTGGAGTCTGTGTCTGCTCGTGGCCTGACGGTGCGACGCCGCAGCGTTCTGCGTGCGGGATATTCCTCCTCTTCTCAATCTGCATGCGCTCTAAGGCGCGAAGCTGGTACTCTGCTCTTCTTATGGAGCACTTCCTCTTGCTTCACTCACTGCACCTCGTAGAGCTCCATGGCCCTCTGAAGGTCCGCAAGGCTGGCCTTGTCGCCGTAGGCCTCTTCGAGAATCCTTCTCCTGTCCTTCTTGGCAGTCATCTTAGCCTCCATTCCAGCAATGGCCCTCTCCATGTCTTCCAAGCTTGAGCGCTCGCCGTAAGAGTCCATGAGCATCTGGTTCTTTTGTTCCTGGGTGAGTTCAAGTGCAGAGTGAACCTTGCGGTTGGCCTCATTAAGTGCATTGGTCACGCCAAAGCCTATGTTGGCATTAGCATCACCGAGCGTAAGGGGTCGTCGAGGCTGTGATGATGCGGTCTTTGACAGGTAGATCGTACCAACAGCTACAGCGGCCATAGTAGGCAGGTACCTAATTCTTGTCAGTGCTAGATAATATTAGGAGCAGGGCGAAACTCACCATTTTGCTACCTTTCCAAGCCTTGGGACGACACTGGCACCAGGGGTGGATGTCATCTGTGCTGCAGCAACATCTTCCATGGAGATGGCGCCACGAGCACGTGTTGAGGTGGTGAAAAGCCTCTGGCGGACAAGAGTAGAAGTGCGGAGGAGGAAAGACATGTTGATTGTTGTGTAGTAGTGGCGAAGATGAATGTGAATGCCAGGTATGGTGATGACGATCTTCCTCTAGGCGGTTGACTTGTTCGACTTATATCTTATCGCCGTACGTATGGTGGTGTAGTGGTATGTGGTGTTTGAAATGTGTGGCACTTGGTAGCCAAGGTGTGTGAGAGTATCGGCCGCGGTTTGACTTCGGTAGTGCGATGTTTGATTGATGGCTTGCAACGTGTATGGTGTTCCGCTGTCCGGTGAGACATACCAAGCGCGGCGTATGCAGACTGTATATACAATAGCCTCGTGCGGGGAAACGCAGGTCACGAGTGGGCTGTGCACTCCTGTGCACTCCTGTCTCTCCACTCAACCCATACATCATGCCACGAATCACAGCACTTGACATCACCGGGTTCCGTGACACAAGTGGACTGGGCCGGTTGGTCCGACACATTCTCGCGTCGCAACCCCAGACCAAGAGACCACTGACGTACCAGGGCGTTGGGTGGTCATCTCCAGTGGGTTTCCGGCCGCGCATGTATTGCGGCTTCGCCTGCCCTGCCGGTCAGAAAGGGCTCGGCTGGTGAAACGGCAGCGGCCGACATCCAATCGCACGCAGGGACGATGGAAGTAGGCCATGTGGGGTTAGTTGTGTGCTGATCGTGGTTAGATGAAAGTCTTTCGATTGTGGGGTGAGCATGTGCATCGCGTGGCCGGCCGAGGTCCCGCGACCCTGATGTCAGCGTGCATATTAGCAACCTGCTCGTGGAGTGACCAAAAACGTAAACAACACCAACTTCATCAACATTCTTCATCGTCATCCATACCCGCTTTGATCTATCGGAAGGAAATTTTCGAAATTCTAGACTATGACAGCATCGCAGGCGTCCATGAATCTGTGCGCTTTCAGTACTCAACAATGAACGCACACCCCACCCCTCGAACCTCTAAAATAGCAGCCTTCAACACGACATATGCGGTACGAAAGTTTCTGAGTTCATCTGCGCTGGACTGAGTAATATGGATTGTGTCGCGCTCTCGAGGTTTGGCTATGACGTATACTCTGCCTTGTCTCAAGAGTAGCATTAGCTTTGAGAAGTTGCTTCCGAGACGCGAACTTGAAAGCTCTGGCTTGACCGAACGGGAGCTGGAACAATCTTCAGAGCGACGCAAAAGCTACTATAGTAGCCAGACCAAACATCAACTGTATACGGCAAGCAAAAAATACTGTAATCGAGGTTCGAACTCGAGACCCTTCGCGGTTCGCACAGATGTGTGAGGCGAGTGTCATAACCGCTAGACCATTACAGCTCCTGCTTCTGATTGGTCAGTAGCGAAACTACCAGGCTTAGACCATGCAGCAGATATCAGATCTTTCCAAAGTGTTGGAAATAATGAGAGCGGAGAGTGTTTGCAGTTGCGAAATTCATAGATTGAGGACGTGGTGGGTGAGCTTTGGTGGAAGCAAGTAGCGACAGCCCATTGTAGCCGAACACTTCTTCACTACATTGATACTTCCAGCCCTCTTATGCGGACCGACTAGTGGGAACGACGAAGAGTACGCACATGTAGTGTCTTGCTTACAACAACGCAGGGTTTCTTTACAGTTGTGTAATCTCCAGCTCGGTTTACACATCAACTTGAATCTATAATTCACGTATGTACGCGTAACGCGATGCTTCTACTCTCTTGGTTAGGCCAGAATCCGCTCCCAACTACTCGCGGGGCTAGAGGCGTCTGTAACGAAACTGGTAAGAGACTAGTGGGGTACTCTGTTTCCACCTATATAAATCGATTTAGCAAGGCTTTTCACCTGCCCGTAGTCGGTACAAACACTCGGTACGTCTGCATTCTCTCACCCCACGGACTATACGAAGACTCTTTAGTCAACCGCTCTTATGAACACAAGCCTCTACCCTCTACCGCAAATTCTCGTAGAGAGGATTATCCCGAATCCACTGCACCTATTGTATTCTCAACTCTATCCTTTACATCTGGTCAGTTTGTGGCAGAGTGCCTCCAAGAGACTTCTAGCAACCAACCACCTCGTGCCGTTCCTGTAGCTTAGGCTACGATCGGTGAGATGATTAATACCACTAGCATAGGATCCATCGAACATATCGAAAGAAATGCTAGAGTCCAACTTCATTGCCAGAGTCCTGCCAATTGAAAATGATGGATCGAATGTTGGTTATCACTGCATGTGGTTCACATATGCCGCACACTTAGCGCCAATGACTTCACCAATCGCTAAGCTCATGAGAGCTGTACCTAACAGGAATCATACCGCGGATTGCCCATTTTCGGGATTGTGTGCGCTTTCTAACTATTGGTGTAGAGACATGTACGAATTAGCGGATGTGCTTCATATCATGCACGCTCATGGTGTGTCACTAAGAGAGCACGTTAGACCACTCAGTGTCTCAATGTGCCATGTGATGGCTCTCCTTCTAGTTAGAAGACAATGTCATAGATATGGAAGGAGAATCTTGCATTCGAACACAGAATGCTCGATGCAGGTTGAGACTTTCCTAACCAGGCTTAGCTTTGACTATTCACCCGGGCAGCTGCACTAGGGTCACTTACTAAGGCCTTTCTTTATTTGGTCAGCTATCTTCTTCACCCACGTATGCATGGTGGATTGCATTGAGGTCCAGAGAAGTATTGAAGGAACACGCGGGGTTCGTACGCCCGGGCGGCAATGCAGTCAGATACTAACACATGTTACCACGGGCGTAGAGTAGAACCAATGACCGGCCTCTACTGTGGTCGTCCAAGATTTCAGTGGTGGCTATACTCTATGTGTATTGTATGTAGGCTTTCAGTAGGGCTGTCGTACTGGCGGGATATCCTTGCATTCGTACATCGAATGGATGCCTGAATATGAATTGATCTTGCAAGCGACTCTGATCAAGGATCACTAATCTCATGCTGCATAGCGACGTGAGAGGGTATATAAATTTGTGAGCAAAGGCTGCCGTAGTCATTATTCTTCACCTTTTTACAGTCAGTATTCAGCTGCACATAGTCATGACCAAATTGATCGCCGTCGTTGGAGTCACTGGAAACCAGGTACGCGCATCTTACATGAAACAATCGTTCCACAGCTGCATGCGATAATAACACAGAGTAGGGTGGCTCGGTCGCTCGTGTATTTCAGAATGAGCCCCGATGGAAAGTTCGTGGCATCACTCGGGATCCATCCAAGCCATCCGCTACAAAGTGGTCATCTGACAACGTTGAAATCATAGCGGGCGATCTCGATGACCTGGAGTCACTAAAGAAAGGGTTCGAAGGTGCAAACGTCATTTTCGGCACGACTGACTTTTGGGCTCATCTGAACGCCCCGGCAACGCACCAGGTTGCGGCCGAGCAGAAGCGCACAGCCAACGAGGTAGCGTTCGACCGAGAGGTTGAGCAAATGAAAGCTATCATCGACGCAGCAGCGGCTCATGTTGGCACTTTGGATCGCCTCGTGTTGTCCACGCTGTCTTCAGCGAGAAAATGGAGCAATGGTAGTATCAAATGGAACTATCACTTCGATGCGAAGGCCGAAGCTGAGAACTATCTGAAAGACACGTATCCGGAGCTGTGGGCCAAGACGAGCCTGCTGCACCTGGGCTACTATGCAAGCAACTGGAAGAACTTTAGTGGGAAACCAGAAAAGCAAGAAGACGGTACCTTCGTTGTTAGTCTTCCCATTAGCGGAGACAAGAAGATTCCCATGGTCGATCCGGTTGCAGATACTGGTTAGTTTCGTTTTCCTTCTATACAGCTATGTGCTGACATTACAAGGCAATTTCACGAAGGCACTGGTTGAGTTGTCACCAGGTAAACTCATCAGTGGCGCTGGATCGTACATCTCGTTCGATGAGTGGTGCGACACTTTTGGGAAGGTAAACAACGTGAAATGCGTGTTCAAGAAAATGCCTCGGGATGCAATGGAAGCTGCGATGGGGCCTGTGTACGGGCCTGAAATTGCTGACATGTACGAGTACTTCGACAAGTTTGGTTTTGAAGGAGGCAATCCTGATGTCGTGTTTCCGTGGGATTTGGGCATCGACGTGAAGTACACTTCCATGGAGGAGTACTTGAAGGGTGAGGATTGTAGTTCGGTTTTGTAAGTGATCGAGAGAGAGCATCATCAGACCGCCCTTAAATAGTAATGCTATCTTTGTTCCTTGAAGTAGCGGTAAGCTTGTGTTGTAAGGTGTTGAAGGCTTGGAAGGCGGACGATTGTGATCGGTGACCGCTATCTTGTGGTGGAGCTTACCCGGAGGGGCTCGTGCATTTAGCGCAGAGCGCCGCATCCCACATTCAATGCTCTTGCTGGCAGCCTTCCCACACCCATTTGCACTCCCACCCGCTTCAAACCCAACTCCCAACATCTTGAACTCGTACGGCGATGCCCAATATATCACGTGTTGGATCGGGATTTGAATCACGCATATCGTCTCCTCGATACGAAGCTCAGGATGTTTGTCTAATCGCTCTCGAAAGAAAAAGTTGTCGAATTTTGTAGAGACATCACGTACTCATCCTAGACATCAAGAACAGTGCGAATGGAGATCAATGTGGCAACTGTTGCGCACGTGTACGACGGCGTTTCCCGAGACCAGTCCGTTGATGGAACAAATGTCGCACGCATTGCAGGACCGCCTGTCGACTGATCCAGCATTAAATAACAAGACAGTTGACCAAATCGAATCGCTGCCCAGGATCACGCCATGACGGCACCTTAGCAAGCCGCACCCGAGTGAAAGGCAGGCCATGGGACTTATTCGCCGTAAGCGGTATCAATCCGTCCGGGGTATTGATAGCGATTGCATTACCGACAGCGGGGGAGTTCTAGAGCCGCCCCCGAGATGCGCCGTATACGATACTTGATCTGGCAGAAAGTCAGTCGATAAACCACTTGACAAGAGTCACGACTACCTTCACGCCCTACGCCAAGATGTTTGGGGTTCTGATACTGTACAAGGCTAGGGTCGATGCGCTCGTGCGGGCGATCTACGGTGAGAGACCCCGCCAAACCCATGATAGTGTTACCCATACAGCGACATCAGCCTAGTAATTGCGGCCCATCTCTCACTCTCTCGAGAAGATATCGTCATTCTATTCGCTTGGGTGCAGTCGTGGCGCGGTAATTACTTTTCCTGGGTAGTCTCGCAGGTCGCTTCGTACATGTATGTAGAAGTCGCCCCGCCCCGCATCTTAATGATAAGGCCGTCATTCTTGGTCCTCGACTGTACTACGTACCAGAATTTGCCCCTTTCCTATCTTTCAACATATAGACACCTTGCATTCAGATCGTCGCCATCGTCGTCCATTCAGCATTGATGTCTGATCATCCTTGCCAACACTAATCGCATAGAAGAGAAGGAGTTGGGTTGTTTCGACAGTTGATCAGGACATAATTTGTGATTTAGAAGGATCAAAGACAACTCAACATGGCTATCAACCTTTTACTGCTACTAGGATTAGCCTTCATCCTCAGTTCAGCTTTTCTTTTGTTACAGCGAAGCAAGCGCAACATTCTCCTACAGCGGCTACGCAACGGCGGTCGACGAGTGTCAGGTGCAAGAACTCCTCCGAGGTCTCTATCACCAGGGAAGAAGGCCGTCTCTGCCACCGAGATCGATTACTCTGACACCTTCCCACCATCACGACGCTTCGTTTTGACCGAGACTAAGAACGAGAATAAGGATGAGTCCCAGGGGCCAACCCCGGGATGGCAGAAGAGGGTCTTACCCATGGAAACGTCATATATGGATGCTGACGACTCTGCCTTCCTCCCATGTGGCTTCTCGGTGAAGGAGATAAAAGCTCTCGGCGACTTTCCGGACTACGCTACACTCAGTGGCGTGCCTCTTCCCAATCCTTACCCAGAGTTTGACATAAACAAGGCATTACCCCGCCCATATAGGCCGTTTAGATGGTCTTACCACCAAACAATGTGTATGTTATCTTGACATCCGTCTCTGGCACTGTGCTGATCATCAATAGCCATTACCAAGATGCAAACTGATTGGTGGATTGAACTCCACAACACATATGAGGAGAGCATCAAGCAGCGGCAGGCCTTGTTTGCAGAGCATGGAGAAGCAGTTCTTCAAGCCCTACCAGGCTCAGAGCTCGCCTGCAAAGAACTAATGGAGATGGTGTTGCAGTTCGTATGCACAAGGTATCCGCACTACTTCAGCCTATCATCCGATAAGAGAATATTCCACAACGATATCCTGAAGACAGACACTGATCTCACTACGACCCTACCTCTACACGTTCTTCTTAACAACATCCCTGAAGACTTTGCCCTCATGCTGCGGAACGAGAAAACAGGATTGTACGTGTTCCGAGCCGGCGTTATCTGCAGTGCACTGGGCTGGAATGTGGGGTCGAAAATCGGGCTTGAACTCGCAGGTATACACAAGCCTATCCCAGACTACAAGGAAAAGATGCAGTTCTCCATGGACAGGTATGTCTCATCGATGTCATGCTTACACCTCCTAACCCTAATCTCGTAGATACTTCGCCAAAAAGCCGACAGAAAAGCCCATTCAGCGCGGTTCCTGGGGTCTAGAAATCGATACTCCGCTCTACATGCCACCTGGTGACCCCCACGAAGCTTTGCGCAACCAACAATTACCTCCCTCCGAACTACCGCTTTCGCGTATCCATCTTCGCGTAGACTGGCAAACACTCCGTCGGCTCCCTTTGTCCGGGGCCGTCGTGTTCAATTTCAAAGCACTCTTTACTCCGATCAAAGAGTTTAGGGAGGAAAAATACGTCCCCGGCTTGCTGCTCAAGGTGTTGAAGGAGGGAAAGAAGGAGTTGATGGAGTACAAGGGGACGTGGCATGTGGAGCATGTTGTTATGCCCAACTTAGAAGAGTGGCACAGGGAGCAGATTGATAAAGGTTTGGTTGAGAAGGACTGGGAGCCGCAGACGCTGGATGAAAGTCCTTGGTTTGAGGGATGGGAAGAAAGGTGGAGAGAGAGACAGGGGTTTTGAGGCGGAATTGGGGCTCTGCTGAAAAGTGGAAGAGATATTGTTTATACATTTTGCATATTCCTTTGATATCACACAAATATATTCACACTAATGAACCGCGATTAAGCTCGCAGTCCCAGTCTCTTAGGCAACTTACCCCGATACACCCATGCTGCACCTGCAGCGACTGCACTCAGTGTGCCGAGCACCAATGTAGTATTACTGACCAGTGTCTCCTCATGAACCCTTCCAATCTTTGTCTCTTGCTTCCCCGTACCAAACACAACTTTACTGGCGCTCACTCCTCCAGTACTCTTCTCCACCATCACACCATCATCAGAATGCGCAGCACTACCACCACCAGCCGTCGTTTCGAAATCCTCCCAATCAACCTTTGCAAGCATCTCCTGATACTCAATCACAGTCCCGGACCAATTATTAGTAATTCTCCCCTCCTTGTTTTTATACCAACTATTGCATTTCGGATCCGCGAAAGAGCTGTTCTTCAGTATCTGCTGAATTCCCTCGTTCCATTCATGCGTTCTGTCTTCCTTGGGCATGATGCCCATCCTCTGGCCTCTGTTCCGCGCATCAAGCACAGCAGAGACGAGCGTGTTGAGGTACCGGGACTGTGCTTCGATCATCAAGATGATGGAGTTATGGCCCAGATTTGTGTTGGGTCCGTAGAAGAGTCCAAAGTTGGGCAAGGAAGGGATCGTCGTCCCGTACAAGGCTGTGGCGCCGGAAGACCAGATTTCTGCTAGAGGTCGTGATTGCGTTCCGGTTACTTTGATGGGGTGCAGGAACTCTACTGTGCGGAAACCTGTTGCAAGGACAATGGTGTCGTGCTCGTGATGCGTGCCGTCTTCGAGCTCGATGCCGGTTTCCGTGATACGACGGATTTTGTTGCTCTCAAGGGTTGTTTTGGGGCTGGCAACGGCGGGGTAATAATCGTCGGATATGATGACGCGCTTGCAACCTGGACTGTAGTCTGGGGTGAGTTTCGACCAGAGGTCGGGCTGGTTGGGGATCTGCGTCTTCATCATCTCTATGCAGCTACTCCGGATGATTTCCGCGAACTCGCTACTGCTGTCTGTTACGGCATCATAGAAAGACTCGCGAAAGTCCATCATGTTGGCTCGGATGCGCCAGCGAACTGGGGGAAGGTAGCGCAGTACTGCGCGTTTGAAGGCGCTGACGGGCCCATCGAGACGTGGAATGACCCAATTTGGAGTTCGTTGGTAGATTGTCAATGAGGATGTTTGTGGCAAGATCTCGGGAATAATTTGAGCAGCAGTAGCACCTAATTTTGATCAGTTTTGTTTTCCCGAGTGATGAATGTCACACGTACCGTTACCGATGATGCCCACACTTTTGCCCTCAAGGCTGTGGCTCCAATCCCAACGCGCCGAATGCATGATCTTGCCCTTGAAGTCTCCTAACCCTTCAATTTCTGGATATTGTGGCTGGTTCAGCTGGCCAACAGCTGAGACTAAAAAGTCGCATTCGATACTATAAGCAGGATTGAATTCTGCGTCTTTACCACCAGTCACGTTGACGTCGACCTTCCAACGGTTCTTGGAATCGTCCCAGGTCGCGGATTCGACTGATGTGTTAAACCGGATGTATTTGTAGAGGTTGTATTTGCGGGCTACGTTGCGAAGATAGTCCTGCAATAGAGTGAGACAAAGCCAAGGAAGGAAAGAAATCGTGGGTACACATACAAGTATTTCCTCTTGGCCAGGGTACTCTCTAGTCCAATCTGGATTCTGTTCGAATGAATAACTATACAACATGCTCCAAACATCGCAACAACAACCTGGATACTTGTTGTCATGCCATGTCCCGCCGACGCTGGAGCTCTTCTCAACAATAATGAAGTTGTGGCATTGGTTGCGCTTAATGAGGTCGATTGCCATGCACATGCCTCGGCGAGGTTAGCATTGGACCTCAAGACCTTTGTAGGACCACTTACCAGAGATACCGGCTCCAATGATAACGACTGCAGCGTCAGTGTGGTCTTTATTCCCGACCGGAACTTGCGGCCATGGTTGCGAGCCACCCATTATGATCGATGTAGCTATCTCTAATGGTATCCGCAAAAAGGAAGTGGACGATCACGGAGGCAAGTTTGAAGATGTAGTTTTCGGGAGGAAGCAAGAAGATGGGCGAAGACGCAAAGCGAAGGCTATCCACATGATCGGGCTCGAAGCGGATTTTGCAGATGAGCAAGCAGCACGGTGTAACACTACTGGTCGCTCAGCGAATGATCGTGTCGAGATGTATCCGGTCCGAAGTACCTTGTGGTCCCTTCCCCTCACCACATACCCGAGCGTTGGTTCCCGAGGTTGTCACAGAATTGCCATCATTGACACACAGCTGCTACACTATCATCGACATGCAGCATTGGGAAATATTGATAAAACTTTACAAACATACGCACCATACAAGAACTCCTGCATCTAGCGGACGAAGCATGACAGATATGATGCATGTACGGGAATGAGCATGGTGGTCGACCGGGGCGGCGCCTCCTCATAATGTGGAGAAAGCGCTAGTCGGCAGCTTTAGCCCCATTGGGTGTGTCACGACGCCACCATCGAGTCGACAGGACCGACTCATTTGATTGACCTAGGAGATGAGTAATGGTAGTGCAGCCTGGGCGAGTGAATCTAGCTATGGTTTTCATTTGCTTTGTATGACTAACATGCTTCGAGGACATCGTTTGTGATAACACTTGCCTAAACAAGTAGTGTCGTTTATAAGACGGTAGTAGAGGTCATCGGATTTGGCCATCGCTTACTTTGCAGGATCCCGATATTAGTGCTTGCCTTCCGTCTTAATATATGCCCAGACTTCCTCTCCTGCATATTCTCCTCTTCTCACCTAGTCGGCTACATGACTGCCATGAATGTGATTCTGTTCTTTCTAGGGGTCGTGTTGATTCGCTGTGTCTCCGTCATCTGCCGCAGTCTCGGACTCGAACCGGTGGGTCTGTATCACTCCCCATCGTACTTTCTTTGCTCGCTTCTCTCCTCCATCTTGCGATTTGTGAGTACTGGCAGGATAGCCTGACAATTCGGACACGGCTCTTATCCGGCCCCATGCCTCGCTCTTTTGTGCTTTCGACATATTTAGATTTGGACTTTTCGGGTCAGTCGTGAAAGGGTAGACATGCTCATCATGATGACCATCCCGTCTCTTGTTATGGGGTTGGAAATATGACTGGGTGGGTATCGTGTGCGATCTCTTATGAACTTGATAGCCTGAGTTTGACTCTCTGTCGCTTTTGAGGCCGTTGTGATGCGCTGCTTTGCTTTTCTCGCGATACTGAACATGTCGCGGGTCATCTCGGAGTAGGTAGTTCAGTGCAAGGTATAAAAGAACGGCGTACTCCCAGACAGCACTTGCAGTGCTAGTTGAGTTTCGTGGGAGCTTTCGATCTGACGGTCGTGGCGTCTGTACTCTTGGGTTCTTCATCTCCAAAGGGGTATATAGCCCATGGAGAGAAGCATACCGGCACGATACATTGTCGGTTCATTGGAAGTGTATCAGTCCGCGTTGTTGACTCTATAGCCTATGCGCTGCTCTGACTATGACAGTTCATGTAGAAGCTATAACCATTACTGACAAACCAACAATCCAAGCTCTTGAACTTCCTGCAATGACTGTACTCATAGGTTAGGTGTTACGAGTTGAGGCATCACGCGAAGCTACTCGTATAGTCATGATGTATGTAACGCATAGTGCTTGATGGAAGCGGCAAGATCCCTTCGATATTGCATGAAAGCTGCGTTGAATAACCATGGTCAGTGTCTCTGTTCCTCCGGTCAGCAGGACTGCTAGGCTGGTATTGCATTGCCGGTCTTCCAAAGTTCTACGGCGTCTCTCTGTTCCGAGCAATATCGATAGCTCTAGATGCGGAAGTAACATCTGCTTTCGATACATGGATTTTGGCACTACTGAGATCATCGCGCAATCTCGTCTAGTCGAAGAACCTACAAAGAAGTCGAGCTGATTCCAACGTGAGTCATATCCTGTACGCGTGATAGAGAGTGAGCGAGGATTGTCGTATGCTTGGACATGTCGCACAAGGCACTGCATGAGCCCTGCTGCTGCTGGATTTCGTGTTCGCGCAGTGCTTATTATGTGTACAGGTGCTGCACTGAAAGTAAGGCCGTTGCATGGTGCCGTTGTAGCGTATTGGCGTTCTGGGTGGTCGGTGCAGTGGCTTACTATGGACTTGTTTCGATCTGGCACCGTGGTTACACAATACCGTCACCGAACAAAAATAACCAGGTGGTGGATCAGCGATCTGCGCGCCTAACGAGTGACATGCCGGGAAATGCTGTGTAAGTTGGAGACCAGATGCGGATAGCTTGGGCGGTGAATATTAGCAGTTTTAGCCGGCACACTTCACCAAGAGGGGACCCGCAACTCAGCCAGATAACTGACCACATGCGGTTGAAAGCTTGGTCGACTGTGCTGATAACGAAACACTGAGACGCAAAACGAATGCTTGGATGACGCATACTATGACGATGAGGGAAGCTCGGTCAGCAGCGATGGAGCGATGAAGCGACCGTTTGTCGGCCTGTCCACGAGAGCCAGTGCGCTACGGCAGCACACAATAACCCGTCGGGTTATTCCCAGGATGTTGTCGCGGAAGGTTCCCTGCCAGGGTCGAGGAAGTTTCTTCTCGCCGATGCAAAGCTTCGCCCCTGCCTTAAGGGTGCAATAACAGTGCTAGTATTGCAGCGGTGAAGGCAGCGGTAGGAGGACAGCAGCGGATGATGGAATGGGAGGGGATGTCTTAGTGTGAAACATGCCAACAGTCGTTCGCTGGGTCGCAAAAAGGAGCGACTTCGTGTTTGATGGAGTGCGTTCGTGTGTATGGACATCTGGAATGCGGTCTCTGGATCGAGGTCATGTCCGCGGCCCTTGTAGACTCTCATTCGTGGGGCCGCAGCGCCGCTTATTTTCGATAGTCTGGTTCTGCTGGGAAGGGGCACACACGATCGCTGCCTCCGCCGACGACCAGGGCGGGCTGGCTGCTGCAAGGGTAAACAACGCGGGCTGTGGCTGTTGGGCGTCTCGACGAGGCGCGTGCGGGTGGGCGACGATGATTTGATTGACAACGCGCAGATTTGACTGTCGTAGAGGCTTCAGGCGTGCGTCCGGCTGATTGGCTGCCTGCGCATTCTATACGGCATCGAGACTCTCCAGGGCAGGTCGTCGGCTGCATCCTGTCTAATGCTAGCTGCCAGTCTGAAACTCCAACACCTCCTGGTCGGGCCGGTGCACACCACCAACGCGCATTATACCTATCGTCCTGTCCCAAACTTGTTCGAGGTTCCTGCCTGCCTTTTGGTCTCCACCGCATTTCGATGCATGCCAACCCAAGGCACGTCACTACCTTTTTGTTCCGCCAAACCGTCAAAAGTTTCCGCATGCATGCAGTAGTCGCGAGTAGCTCCGCCTAGCCATTCCTAGCCGACCATACAACATCCACCGCCGACTTCTCGCGCGCGCGCACCCGTTACGTCGTCATTGCAACCGCAACACTTGTACCACGCCTCTGCAGCCATATTCCATTCCAACATAGTACTTTTGGCCTACATAGCTACCCTAATCAATCATGAAGCAGCGCAAGTTTTCTTTCAACCTGGCGCCAGTCGTATGTCCTATCTCTACTTCTTCACCTCCAACTGCATTCCCAGCACTAACTCACCGCTGTACAGAAGATTGCCTCCAAGTCAGATCTCCTCGATAAGCCCACGCCAGAACCAACTCCCTCACAGCCCTCGTCGTCACACAAGAGACATACTTCCAAAGACAGTATATGCGATTCATCGCCCTGGATCAACCGCCGTGTCCTCGATGAACATACCGAACTCGAATTGCGCCTAGCATGTCGGCATATCCTGCAAAACTTCAAGCCATCCGATCATGGCATGGAGAACACAGACCCGAAGCTCGACTTTGGGGGACTTGGTCCCCGACGGAAGGAGAGTAAACCACAGGCTGCTGAGGTTAGTGTCCGTATGCCCACCGGCGCGCCCCCGGAGTTGTCGGCGGCATCGACGTCATTTATGATGCGAAAGCCCAGCACCAAGACCCGGACACGAGCGAAGGCAGACCAGGAGATCAGAAACAGGACATACGGAGACATGCCCGCGCGCGCGAATAGCAGTCGTAAGCGAGCTGACTTTGGATGGCTCGACGAACGGGACGCAGAGAGGGAGGAGAAGTTGAGAACATATGGCAAGACTTCCATGGACGTACCGCGCTCGGCTGTCTTCCGCAATGACTCCGATGAAGATATCACTCTCCCCGTGGCCGTGACATCAACCTTTGCCAATGCCAAGATGTCGTCTTCAGTGCCCAACTCAGCATCTCTGCCCAACTACAGGAGTATGAACAGGCTATCCCACCATTCTGACAACCCTGCTGCAGTCGCAGACGCACAAGCCGCAGAGTGGATGCGTTCAGAACTCGAGAAGAAGCGACGAGAAGAAGCCTCAGAACCTCGGGGCCGATCCAACACCTCGGTCCGACCACCAAGTCGTGCTGCGAGCATCAAAGAAAGTGTCAGAGAATACGTCTTTCCCGGCTCCCGCAGTCGGGCCCTGAGTCGCGCGCAATCCAAGGATTCCCTTCGTCCCTCAGCCGACGATGACCAAGGTCTCACACGTAGTGACTCGAAATCAGGATGGCGTAGCTGGGGTGTTGCCCGCAAGTTAAGTTCAAGGAGCAACAGCAGACCGGGTACTTCCAAGGGACAATCAGAAGAGGCTCAACCAAGGAAGTCAGAGTCTGGTGGCATTAACTTGACCAAAGAGCTACCACCACTACCCAGTCTAGACACATGGAAGGATTTCGAAGAGCCTGCAGAGGAGAAGGTAGCATCGCCAAAGTCGCCCATGTCTCCTACTGCTGAAACACACATTGCAAGTCTAATGCGTCCACAAGAACAGCACCAAGAGCGTTCTCCCTCTGCTGCGAACAAACACAGGAAGAGCGGATCTGATACGCAGGCCATGCATGCCAACGATGCCTTCCCTGTGCGAAAGTCCTCCCGTAAGCAGGACACCAAAGCTATCCCCCAGCACGTACGAACACAACCAGGGAGTCCGACGAACGCCGGGCATTCAATGACTGGCTGGTCTTCCACTAGCAACCTTGACCAGCGTCTCGAACCGGGCTCCAGCAACCATACTCGCCAAAGGAGTGGAGATAGTGGCTCTGTCTCGAACGGCAACAAGAGTGCCGACGCGTCCACTTTCTCGCGCAAGATGAGCGTAGACACATCATCCGCGCAGAAAACCATTTCGAACGAGCCCAAGACTCCAGGCCGCGAAGAGCAAAAATCGAAGTTGAAGAAGATTTTCAGTGGCTGGATGCATAAAAAGGACAAGAAAGAGGACTGGATGCATAAGATGGAGAAGGAGGGTGTCAAAGAAGGCGTTTTGGTGCAAGAAGGCAGCACAAGCGCATCGCCTGTGGTGCGATACTAAACTCTCTTATTCGTCGCTTTCCTGATGGCGTTTTCCATTTTGGGATACTTGTTTATGCCGGATTGGGACATTTCTGTATACATGTAATGACTCTCATACGTAATGTGTAACGACGCCACGTTACTTTTCGTTTTTCTTCCTTCTAGGGCTTTTGGGAAGCTGTGTATTTGACTTCATGGTCATTAAAAGGATGCATCTTTTTCTTCTGGTATTTGGTAGGTTCGGATTGGGGTAATGGGACGGGTTTGGTCTTTCTTCCTGCATAAATTATATGTTAATCGTGCGTCAATGCTCCATGACTCCTAGTTCCATCTCCCTACATGCGCACGTGTTTTGGTGTTGTCGTACTTCCCATCGTACGCTAGCGCACGTGAATGCGCACCGTGAGAAGTCGCGTCAGGCCGGGTAGTTCTTTCCTCAATTATGATTACGCTTGTCATATATTCGCTAGGCACCCACTTCTATTCTTGTTCATAAAATGTTCATTCACCGTCGACATGGGTCTGTAGCTGAATATGAATGCATAAAGGCAATGACTAACTGCGTCTTAGCTACTATCTTACCTTTACCTAGACATCCCCACCTTTTCCACGTCACCTCGAGCAGCAATATGCGGAAAGTTTGGGTGACAGATATGGCAACGCTTTACAGTTAGTGATCACTGTGCCCATCAGTCCACAGCAATTTCGTACCACCACAGATACGAAAACGATTGTACGTGCACAAGATACCCATGAACTTCCTGGCTGTCCTCTGAATCATCAACTCTACGCGGTACAAGAAGTTAGCAGTTGCAGTCCAGTTGTAATCAACGCTCAACAACAACGCCAAGTAGCCATGTGCAACGTCATCCATCTCTACTACAGGTGTCAACATACGCTACGCCTACGGAGATCGCGTTGTCAAGGAACGAAACACAAGATAACCCGGACGAGTATAAAAGCTGCGTGCACGGCGGAATCGTTCCTCACTGTGTATGCTCGAACTGAATGCAATACCTGTGAGCACGCGAGCTGGCAGAGCGACTGGACATACAAATTAGAACGAGCAAGAACATTTCTGTCTAAGCTGATTGAAAAGCGGATGCTAGGAACGTCTGAGGTTTCTGCTCTGGTTAAGGAGCTCGAAGATCAGTACTATGTGGCTTCATGGGGTGCACGCAACATCTCACACGCTTTTAAGAAGAGTGTGGCGCGGGTGAGCGTTAGCGACTACAGGACAGTACGCTCGCCGTTGAAACAAGAAGTACGGCCAGAAGATGTCGTTGACTTGAAAGAGAAGCACTGGGCTGAGATGGACGCTCATGACTATGATGGCGATTACATTGCGAGCACCGATCCGATCCACCCAGTCAGTACCGATTATTCACACCCACTCGACGATGATGATGGGAGTTGGATCTTTAACCATTTCTCGAGCGAAGAACTGGAGGCTTCAAACGATGAGGAGGTTGTGCTTGACTTTGATCAGGCTGGATGGAGTTGGGATAACGACAACAGCGAGACCTCCATTCCGATTTTGAGATCTCAAGAGGAGAACCATACGTTAAAGATAGACGAGAAGGATCTTATTGCATGGGGATCTGGAGCGGAGGCGCCTCCCATGTGCGTAGACGTCAGCATGAACGGCTTGAGCATGAGAGAGAAGCTCGAAAAAGAGCAGATTGAACTCATTATTGAAGCATTCTGGACAGTGGTCAACGATTCTACGATTAACACGGATTATCAACCCCAACAAACCACGGAAGACTTGAGTACACTGCTCTATGACCTCGATATCACCACAAGAGCATCAAAGTCACCCTCCTCGCTATCCACACCGACTGAATTGCCGTCACAGTGGGTTGACGGTTCGTCGGAGATACCTACACTCACGATAACTCCAGCCTCTCCTCTAGCTTCACCCATAAAACTGTCAAGTCTCAACTCAACAAGAACAGTCTACAATAAACAGCGCAAGTTGCTCGAACAGCGACTACAAGATGATGCTGACAGAACAAAGTACTACAGTGACTTACTTCTAATCTCACGATGGGAAGCACGAGCATTCGAAGGACCAGGAGGCAGATTCATTCCGGATCCGCCGATGATTAGGGTACATGAGGACAGCAAACGCGCGGTTCCAGTAAGAAAAGGACAACCAAAGAGTGCAGATAATGGGTGTTTGGAGTTTCAAAAATCTCATGTGTTAAGTTCATGAGGCTTTGAGAAGTCGTAGAAACAAAGGTATCGAAGTACCCTTTTTCTCATTACTCATGTACCGGCTATGATGTCATGTCATGACCTTCCATTCCCATGTGTCTATTGAACCATCCATGCGCCAAATGCTATGCAGAAATCTCATCGCTGAACTCGACGAATCAGACCCCGTAAAGCTTGGAGAGCAATTCTCAGTGCTTGCAGCATTACTCTCCCTAACCAGCGCACAGCTCTATAAGTCCCCCAGCCTGTCCAGTAGCCAAACCCTACTGCGAAAAGACCCAGTATAAGTGGGCTCATAAAGAACAAGAGGAGATAGGCTGGTCCCATGCTAAGAATTGCTAGAACGAAATGCCACCATCTCTCTACGTAAATCATATCAAGATCTTCTGGATCGAATAGCGCATCAGGATGACGACCATCTACAAGGCATACGATCCGTCGTTTTGCTGTTCTAGAGCGTCATCAGCAACGCAGTCTCGTCATGTGCGAAGAGTGTAGATGGATTGACAGGGATCACCACCTGTCGCCACCAGATCCCTCGCCCATAACAGTATTGAAGAAGTTGCCCTCGCCACCACCGTAGTTGCGTCCTGGATTATAGCCACCATAGTCGGCCATGCCACCGTGCAACATTTTCTTTCCCTGATTCTTGCCATGTTCAACGATAGAGCTCTTTCGGCCAAGGTCCTTGGCTAGGGAAACGGAGTTTGTGATGGATGCTAGTAGGTTGACTAGCTGCACGTCTGAAGCTTCTTGTTGGGACTCGAGTGTGAAAGCGGCAGAGTCTGGTGGGCCCAGGATATTGAGTCGAGCGAGCATGGCGGATACACTGCGAAGGATTGAGTGATCTAGAGGTAGAGGGTGTTGCGCGTCCGGTGTAGGGTCGACCGGCAGTGATGGGTCGGAGAGGTACGACGTTGGAAGGGAGTCGAGGTACGCGCGGAGAAGCATTATTCGCCGACTGAGCATGCGAATAGCATTCATTTTGGCTGTGAGTGAAGAGAGAACTATGCAAACGTCAGTATGCCGGCACTAGATCAAGATCGAACTGCTTGGTCCTACCCTCGTCGTCGTCTGGGGTCAAGATGACAGACTCGTCGATAGGAGCGTCGGTCTCCTTCTCTTTTTCCTTCTCCTTTTGCTTTCCCCGTGTGTTTCTCTTGCTGGTACCCTCGTCGGTCTTGGAAGACTCGGACTTTGCGCCCGCTACGTCTGCTGTGCCTTCTACTGCAGTAGCGTTGCCACCACCGCGGGCAACGAAGTCGACAGATATCATCTCCGCTTCACCGGTCTCGATCGAGTATACTAGCTCCCTGAACTTGGTCGACTTTGCCTGTACGGCGCCGTCGATGTCCATAGCTTTGTCATTTGGCTCGCTCGACACATTGACGGAGATGGACTCGTAGACAGTGAGGGGCAGCTTTCCAGCAGCAGTTTCTTTGGAGTATGCGTTCTCGGGGTGAAACAATACGAGTAGCGGAGATTCGGTGTAGATTTCTGATATTCGCGAGTGGATAGGAAGGATGTAGGGTTCTGGGCCGGAGGCGGGACCGAGAGTGAACCAGCCGACGATATCTAATTGGGGTTCTTTGTGTACATCCTTGACTGTGTATTCGTAAGCCTCATTCAGCCATAAATGCAGAAAACGTAGACTAAAGCTTACAGTCCTCAATACGCTTGCTAAACCACTCGTCATCAAGCACCGTCTCGCCATCCTGGTTCGACTGGAGTTTTGCTTGGAAAGCAACCTCCATGGTGATGTTCTGGCCATCTTGTGCACCTAATATAGCTCCGACCACTGGCCCTGTCTGCTGTCGTAGTGTGTGTCGTGTGACACAGTCTGTTATTGTGAGGAGTACTAGCGGATGGAGTTGTACTGTCGGACTTGCGTCAGAGGCGCGAGTCGTTGAAACGAGTGGATTCCCTGATGACTCTGCCATGTCTGCTGAAGTATGGTTTGTCGTCTCCCTATTTGAGTTTCGCGGTAGTCGAGGAGGTGGGTGAGAGCCTTTGGGGAAGGTGGAACTGCAATTGCGATGATATGGTCTTGGTGGGGAGCTTGCCTAGGCTGCAGCTGCCACAATTCGTGGGGTTGTGCCAAGGCGCTTACCACTCTACGCTAGCTCAACGCGACTGCAGCGCGACGCGATTCCTAGAAGATTGGCGACTGTTCTGCTTACACGACTTCACTCATCACGAGATTCCACTAACAGACAGTCAAAAAAAAATTGTGCAATTTCCGTCTGGGGATGATCATAGCATTGAAATCTACAGTCTGGGCTGACCTCTAGATCTTTGCATTAATCGCCAACACTAGCTAATTACTCCAGCACAACCAACTCCAAAGCACACACAACCCAAAAGCGAATGGTATCTCTGTCTTGATCCAGAATCCGAGAGCTGCCCTTAAAACGCCTGACCGGGATCGATGTCTTCCAGTCCATCTTCTAAGTCGTTTCTATCATGTCGTTATACATACCCGAAAAAGCGAATGTACATGTTTTCAGTCATTCGTAGACCAAGAGTTTCCTACATCTCAACAAGAACTTTGAGGACGAGCTTGCCATCCTTGTCGACTGTCTTGCCTGCGAGCTCGAAGGCTTCCTTTGTCGATGCCAATCCATGATACCTGTGAGTGATCATATTGTCGAGACTTGGAAGTACACCAGCAGATAAGATCTTGATGCCGGTTGGGTAGGTGTTGGCGTAACGGAAGATTCCCAGGATGTCGACTTCTTTTAGATGAGATGCCGACATGGGCAGTGTTTGGATTGGCGTGCCCATTCCAACCATGATGAGCTTCCCACCAGGCCTTGTCGCCTGCAGGAGGTTAGATCCACGCTCATATACCGCTTCGAAAGATACTTACGTATAACCCAGCCTGCATACAAATCTCCTTTCCAGTGCAGTCAAAGGTAACGTCAGCACCTTCGAAATCGATCTCATTCTGCGAAGCAATCTGCATGACATCCGCAGCCAACTCCTTAGCTACCGCGAACTTTTCGGCAGTCTCGGTCGCATTGTGTGGGGTCACAATGTAACCTTTGTGCGCGAAGCCGTTTGCCAAGGCGTAGTTTATACGTCCATAATCGATGTCTGCGATGACGACGGTTGTGGCGCCAGACACCTTGGCCATCGCAGCTGTAAGAAGACCGACCGTGCCTGCACCAAAAACAATGGCCGTGTCACCCTGCTCGATTTGGGCTCTTCTTGTTGCATGTATAGCAACAGAAAGAGGCTCTAGAAGCGCAGCCGATTCCATGGACACATGAGCAGGTAGTCTGGATAGAGTTGTTAGCTAAGATTCGGGTTTCGGGTCGATCATGCACGACATACTTGTGGCACCATTTTGCAGGATGGTTGATGCGTTCCTGAAGCGTTCCTTGGAAGTGAGGTACCGATTTGGCGCTACTCCGGAACCTCATCTTCGGGCACAGGTTATAGCGTCCGCGCTGGCATGACCTGCAGTTGTCGCACGGCACACCTACCTCCAGAGCAACGCGGTCGCCAATCTGGTAACCGGTGACACTCTGGCCTATGGCGACCACAATTCCGGCAGACTCGTGGCCCAAGGATAGCGGCTCACAAGCCTGCAGGTCCCCGTTGCAGAACTTGCTGTAGTAGGAACAATCGCTCCCGCACAACCCAGTAGCCTTGATAGCGATCTGGAGTTCATTGGCGGCAGGGTCAGTAATGGTTCGAGTTTCCTGTTTGGATTTGTTAGCTTCAAGTCTAAGGTGTTCGATATACACCAAAACCCCCACGAACAGTGGGTAGACGTGGGATGTGTAACAGAAGAGGAAGGCATACCAGCCGCAAATCCCTTGGCCCGTGTAGGACCGAAGCTACTACAGTCGATGACTTAGAGTAGTGCCTCGCTGGGATTGGATAGATATCTGCGAGAGCTGAGGGAGCCATTACGAGAAAGATTTGAAAGTATGGGGGATGGTGGCAATGAAGCGGGAAAAAGTGAGGGAGAGATAGCTAGCAGAAGAGCACCCCACGGGAACGTGGAGGCTGATATACTTGTTGAGAAGGCCTATTTCGATCAACGGTGGCCTGGGACAAGCTGGGCTTGCCTGAGGTTGGTGCAATCGGCGAGATAATGGTATCGCATGAGAGAGACTCCAAGGTTCCACGTCATTTGCTAGGCGTATCATACTGGCGGGACGAGCATGGATAGGGATGCGCGACCAGAGCTACTTGGTATGGTAGGCTTCGCGTAGTCTTTTCTTTATCCCGTTACTCTGAGTGTATGTATGAGGCTAGATCTTCTTGTGGGTACACAACCGGGAAGGCTTGCAATTTGCCCAGCGAACTAGCTGGTAGAAACTCAAGCATTCTTAGTCTCGTTTTGCCGGATCAATACCATGTAGCTCCGGGATGTGCACTCACAAGATGCGATATAGGAGCAACGGTCATAATGCGGCGTCTATGGTGGCCACGTCTTGTCTTGTGTAGTGGCCGTCTATCAGAAACCCGGCGCCGTCGTGAAACAGCGATAAGGCAGTCTGCGCGGCTGTGGAGCCCGCTTCCAAAGGTTGTATTGGAATTTGCTGCACCGAACCTGTCGGTTGTAGTGGCCCTGCAGAGTCATGGATCCCTGGATTCGACGCGCCAAACATCAGCCTGATATGCAGGCTGTCCTGTCTCGGCGTTAGCACGTCTTTACCGCTAAGCAAAAGCTCAAACCATAAGTCGTCCACAACCCCCGGTGCACCCTCAATCTTGGACCCTCGAGGCCTGCATGCCGACGGGAAAATTCGACCGCTGACTGGCTAGCGTACTTGGGTGATTTTCCAGAAGACTTCCGGAAGTCACTTTTGCAATATAAATTCCCGGATATATTGCCCATGTGCGAACGGCTCACGCTCAACGGCGCGCCTTCAGACTGGACTACTCTGGGAATCATGGTGTCAGTCCCGTAGTGCGGCCCCTTAGCGGGATCCTTCTGGGGCAACGGTGGTGGGTGTGGTAAGAGGCCCGTTGGCTGAATGTCGGTTGGATGTCAGACATGGGTCGTGGTTTGGCTACCGAGGAGCAGCCCATTGACGAAATTCGTCCTACGCAGAACCAAACTGTCGGGACAGGAAAGTACAAGGGCCTCTTATCGGAGCGACCTCAACGCCAACTGCACGAACGACTGGCCCAAGGCATACCTAACAGTCAACAGCTGCACCTCCGACCGAGGTGTGGCCACCAAAAGACCATCGAGATTGACATGTGCTATTGTCTGCATGACCATGGCGAAGAAACACCGGTAGCGTGCTGCAATGCCGTCTCAGATCTACGACCTCGACCGAAGAATGAGGTCGAGCACTTGTCATGAAGGATTGGCAGGAGCAACGGTGATCGCGGGTACATGGCAGACCCAGCAATTGACAAGGGTGCGGCCACGAGCAAGATGAGATGTCGTTGGTAAGCCGTCCCACAAAATGGCCTCGGGAGTGTACGTATCTCTCCGACCGCCCGACCTGCTCTATTACTCGACAACAACCATCTGGCACGCAGCCGAGCACAATGCTGCAGCGGGACGGCAAAAGAGACGTTGTAGACCAGTCGTCCTTTGTCCATCGACGTTGCATAGCAGAGCACCATGGTGGATCAGACCGTGACCCAGCAGTGTTGAGATTAACTTCTTTGCGGGCCCGCATTCGCTACGACTGGACTAAGAAACATACCTAATGTGCCTGTCCAGCCAGTCCGCTTCCTGCTCCGGCGCAACAAGCTACGAGATGTAATCGAATAACAGACTTACCGATAAGCAGCTCTTCATTTACATTACACATGCCGCCTCTCTCGACGGACTACCTAGCTATATCCAGCGCTATTATAGACTCCGTCAATGAACGTACAAGAACGCCGGGATCATGCATCATCAAGCGACCGACTCCACGACCCTCATGCATGGGCCTCTAGAAGCGGTAAGCGGTGAGGAAGGTTCATCATACCCAGTTTGAATGCACTCCGCACCGTTTACCAACTTGCGCACGTTTTCGCGATTTACGTTGAATATATCTCAGGCGCTTGCATCTTGGTGATGCAGCGGTGAGGGATTTCACATTAGTCGCTTCCCGAAAGCTGGTCAGCGCCACACGGCATATCCAACCACCACCATCCTGGACATTTTGAGTACGTACTCCTTAGCAGAGGCGGTCTGCCGGATGTAAAGGCACCGCATCCCCTATCGTAGTATCCCGACCAGAAGAAGCTGCAGAGTCTTCGGAGGCACCTCTCCGCATCAGCTTTCTTCCGCAAAAAGCGTGGCATCTCGCTACCTACTCACAACCACGAAGCCGCCACAGGGCTTAATGCTGCTACCTTACTGGCTGTATTTGACAGCGGGGTACCAGTGCCTTGGAATCGCGCACGGACAGAGGGACCTGCATCCGACATATCTCCAGATTGTTTTTACCAGAAAAGCTGGAAGTATCGTCACAATCTTCTCGACCTGGTCTTCGCATGGAAGAATATCAAGGAGCGCTAATCCGTCTGCTATGGTTAAGACGGAACAAGATCCAGAACACACAACCCGGTGCCAAATTCCAAGACGGCGTATCTGCTACTTTTGCCGGTACTTTTGTGGTTAGAACCTCCGGAGATACCGAGATACCACCTGCATCACACGCTTCACTTTCAGGCCAAAGGTACCTGACGTCTGCTCTCGATCGTAAGCGAAGCAAAAAATACAGTGGAAGGAAGCGCCCAAATGAAAACTCCAGCAGGTGGTGTGCTGATGGGCCCACAGATATGAGGCCGGTGATGCAGATCTAGTATCCACACACTATCCCTCCTCGACTCCTCAGAATCGATGATGAGTGTCGGCATAAGGTCATGCTTCAACAAAGTAACGTTATCGGTGCGCTGACGCATACCTGCGTTTGCCGTCGTCGAAGTGCCGTTTCTGGCAGCCGTCGAGCGAACCGCTATCTTGGTTACAGTAGTAAGCACTTAGCAATTCATCGGTGCAAAGGATCTCGCTAGCGCAAGACATTACCGATATCGCTATGTAGACAAGGGGTTGCGAAGCACATATCAGGCCATTACGGATAGAGCCGCAATCTCCATGCTTTCCTGGCCTGACCCTGGTTGGTACAAAGCGATCTGCCGTCCTCGATCAACGGGCATGAAAGAGTAATCAGGTATACGTATACGAAAGCGATCGAACGTAGACACACCGCCCGCTAGACAACATGCTGTAACTTTAGTTGCTCGCGGCGCAGACGTACGCATCCACACTACATACACTACGTTTGACTCGACCGTTAAGGGACCGCCCATCCCATCGCACATTTCCGCTTCATCCTGAACTCAATCCTACAACGCACTCTCTCGCTTCTTCTTCGCCACTAACCCCTGCCCCTCAAACCATTGGCGGATAATCGTATTGCACTCCTCGGGCTTCTGCGTCAACGCCCAGTGGGCCGCCTTTACCTCTCCTCGCGTCAGCTTAGGGATAAAGTTTTCCATGCTCTTTGACATTTCTGGTTTGAGGACGCCATCGTGCGTGGCTTGAATGAAGAGGACAGGTTGGGTGATTTGCTTGCGGGAGAGGAGGGCTTGGTCTTCTTCCCAGTTTGTGCGGCGTTGACGGTACCAGTTCACTGGGTTAGAGAGTTAGTGGATAGAACAACGGTTATATGTGTATACACGCTATTATGCGGATGAATAGTGGGTAAGTAAGGGAGAAGGAGTGCTCACAAGTGGGGTGTATGCCGTGGTTCAAGTACTGCTTGACGTAGTAGTCTAGGTACTGATTCGCTGTTAGCACACCATCGCTTGCTGAGAATAGGTCTTAAGCTGTCTTTCTGAAACAGCGCACTGCTGTCATGCGACCTCAACGCGGCCTACACACGAGATGGTGTGTTCATGTCGAGGCAAGCCGATCATCTGGAACGCTTTCCCGTCTTTCCTGCACGACACAACGGAGGTGATAATGCACAAGTCCAGCAATCCGACCATCTCATAGTGCACTTTTGAAATGCGGTATCGTAGTCGCTTATCATATAACCCCACTCTTTTCTTTCCTCGATCCCGCACTCGACACGCGTTGCAACATGAAAGATCATCACGTACCTTTCCATTCAAAACCTTGCTTTCCCCAATTGAGGGCAGATTTTCTCCCAGCACGCCCTTCTCAGGATCAAAGGCGATTTCACCTTTCGGCCCCTTAGCACCATACATACCCTTCAGAAACTGCCTGATCGACTGCTCATCTTTGACAATCTTTTCCACCTCACCTGAAGCGAGGTGGATTTGGTAAGCAAATTGGGGCAAGGGACCATTGGCGAGATCTTCAGTGGACATGTACTTGTCATGAGGAGCAGTATATGGTGTACAGACCGAGAACACATGTGAGACAAGGTCGGGGTACCTATGAAAGGGGTGAGTCACTGCTGTGTATGGGTAATCACGGCCATGAAGACTCTAGAAACATACCACTGAGCTGCTCGCCAGACGACAAAACCTCCCCTAGGTAAAGTGTTAGTCGACGAGCCTTTTGTTTGAATCACGCAAGCGATGGCTTACCAGTCGTGGCCACCGAGAATGATCTTCGGCGCGTTGACCTCTTTCGCCAACGCAGCAATGTCATCTGATGCTCTCTTAAGTCCATAGAGCTTGATGGAGTTTGGCGGGACTTTCGGAGCGTCCTAAAAATCCTCACGTTAAGCGTTCTTCTGGGGTAGCATGAGTTCTGGGCCTTTCTTACTGTCTCGCCATATCCCATCATGTCCGGTGCAACGACCCGCATTCCCATATCGACTAAGAGTGGGATTTGATACCTCCATCCTATTGATAGGTCGGGCCAACCATGGATCTACCAAGGCAGTCAGTATCTCTAGATGTCCAATGCTCGCTAATATAACAAGATCCGGAATATGCCGTCAAAGCATGACAGGCTACCCAACAAGACTTAC